TGTGAGCCACCATATGGGTGCTGGGAATTGAACTCAGGACCTCTGGAAGAACAGCCAGTGTTCTTAACCTCTGAGCCATCTCTCCAGCCCCCACTTATTTATTTTTAATTAGTAAATATTTACTGAAATACATGTAATTCTTTGGGAAGCATCTAAGGAACCCATTGATGGCATTCTGGTTTGAAGAAAATATAATCAATAAAGAGGCGTTCTAGGCCAACCAAAAAATACCCCAAAAAAACCAAAAACCAAAAAAAAGTCCCCCTTTTTGCAGAGGAGCGTAGACGGAAGTAAGACGCAATAGTGAAGTACAGGTGTGCACATTAAACTTCCACCGTACTATATCAAATCTCAGGGGACTTCTCTCACATTCTGAAGTATCTGAGTTCAGACCTATAGGACATGTAGGGGCATCAGTATTATTACTTACACAGCACTGGCGGTTCAGCTCTCTGTAGCTTGAACGGACTCCAGGCGTATGAACTTTTTCCTAAAGCGTGAGGGCTGGGGCCGGGTACCTTACCTGGTGCTGTTCTGAGACCTGCCACCTTTGCTTCTTGTCTTGCTCACCTGACGTTTGGCTTCTCTTCGTTTCAGGAAAGAAGAGGAAAAACTCAAACAAGACAACAAGGTCTCTGTATATTTGGAAGACTAACACTGCGAGGTAAGGGTCACACGTGGGTGACTTCTGTCTTCAGCTTGCCCGGCTGTTTAGTCCGTCTCCCACATGGATGGATCTCTCTGGTCACCGTACATGGCCAATGACATTCCTATTTAGAAGGCAGATTGGTCTCCTATAAGCTTCGTAGATGACTTCGCCTTTCAGGGTGCTTGTGCATATGAGAGAACTCTACATTTTGAGGTTTAGGGGTTATATTAACCACCACCGATAATGAACTTCCAACACGTGAATAAATCATTTGTGTGTGTGTGTGTGTGTGTGTGCGCGCGCGCGTGCGTGTGGAGATCAGATGACAATCTCAGGTGCCATCTACTTTGGGTTATTGTTGTTGTTGATGGTTTCTTGTGTGTGTGTCTGTGTGGCAGTCTCTCACTGGCCTGGCACTTGCTGTTTGAGCTAGGCTGTGTGGCCACCAAAGCTTCTCTCTGCTTCACCAGTACTTGGATTCTCAGCATGTGCCACCATGCCCGGTTGTTTACATGGGTTCTGGTGACAGAACTTGGCTTTATTCCTGTATGGCAAGCACTTTGCCAACTGAACTATCTCTCCAGCCCAATAAATCTTTTTTTTTTTAAAAAGATTTATGTATTTATTATGTATACAATGTTCTGTCTGCACGCATCCCTGCAGGCCAGAAGAGGGTATCAGATCTCATTACAGATGGTAGTGAGCCACCATGTGGTTGCTGGGAATTGAACTCAAGACCTTTGGAAGAACAGTCAGTGCTCTTAACCTCTGAGCCACCTCTCCAGCCCCCCCAATAAATCATTTTTAATGAAAAAATTTATATTTGATGGTTTGGTTTATATTATAAATCATTTATGGCATGGTGGCAAGTGACCTAAGGATCAGAGAGATGGCTCAGTGGTTAAGAACACTTCCTGCTCTTGCAGAGGTCCTGAGTTCAGTTCTTAGCACTCACATGGTGGCTCACAAACATCCATAACCAGGTCCAGGGGATCCAACATCCTCTTCTGAACTCTTTGGGTACAGCACACATGTGGTGCACATACAAAAATGCAGGCAAAACACTCATTAAGTAAAATAAGTAAATCTGAATAAAGTTTAAAGAAAATTTAACAAACTAATTTCATCAAGTGTAGCCTGTGGTTTCTGATAGAAGATACAAATTTAAATAAATTACAAAAAGTTAGGAGGTTGGGCTTGGCATAGTGGTATAGTACTTGATTTTAATTCCAGCACTCAAGAGGAAGAGACAGGTGGACTTCTGAGTTCAAGGCCAGCCTGGGCTACATAGTGAGTTCCAGGGCATCCAGGGCTACATAGTGAGACCTTGTTTGAAAAAAAAATAATGGAGATTGTAATTAAGATTTTGAATATGAACATGAGTGTGGATATTAGGGAGTTATTAGGTCTTATTAAGTGTATAATGGTATTATGATTACAAAGGAAAACAAGTTTTAAAAATGTATGTTATAATATGTAGAGGTAAGTCTATAATTAAAAAAAAAACTTGTCATAAAACAAAGCAATAAACAATGCCAAAAAGAAAGGAAAACTTTCAGCCGGGCGGTGGTGGCGCACGCCTTTAATCCCAGCACTCGGGAGGCAGAGGCAGGTGGATCTCTGTGAGTTCGAGGCCAGCCTGGGCTACCAAGTGAGTCCCAGGAAAGGCGCAAAGCTACTCAGAGAAACCCTGTCTCGAAAAACCAAAAAAAAAAAAAAAAAAAAAAAAAGGAAGGCTGAGGCAGGAGGACAATTGTGAGTTCTAGGCCTGTCTTGGCTACACCCGTGAGTGCCAGGCCAGCCAGGGCTACATAGTAAGATCCTATCTCAAGAAAACAAAACAGCACAAGAAAAGACACTGGATCTGAGAACCATGTAACACAGAGCAGGAAGTAAGTCCTTTGAAATTAAAAATCGAATTAGTGGGAGAGTAAGCTTAAGAATATTTTCCGTGAGGAGGGGGTTATGGATGTTGTGGGTGTGTGATGGGCACTGCCAGGTATTCCTCTTACACTCTTCTCAAGGACATTATCCTTTTAAACTCTTGTGTTCCAGGAAGCTGAGGATTTTCAAGGACATTAGTTCCCCTGGAAGTCAATGGAAACTTTTTCAGTGATGACCTGTCATCCTGCAAGTTCTGCAGCGCAAACCTGCCTAGATGAGCAACGCCCCTGCCGAGCAGCTTAGGACTCTCCCTGAGCAGACGCCGCTAGACTCCTGTGTACCTTCATTACTAGGGTTTTACCTAATTCCAGAGTGCGGATGTGTATTAGTTTTTGTAAAATGGGAAGTTACATTTTTGTCCTTCCATATGCCTGAGGGATGTGACTCCTGTACTCCTGTGTGTATTGGCATCAAAGGGCAGGAAAGCCAGCTAGCCTGCCTGTCAGGACATTTCTTCTCACATTTGAGTTTCTTTAGAACAGCACAGAAGTGTGCTAAGGGGTCTGGAGAGATTGTTCAACCTTTAGGAGCACTGGTTGCTCTTACAGAAGACCCCAGTTCAGCACCCACATGTTGACTCACAACCATCAGTAACTCCAGTTCTAGGGGATGTGACACCCTCTTCTAGTGTCTGCGGGCACTGCATACATCTGGTACATGTACATACATGCAGGCAAAACCCCCATACGTAAAATGAAAATAAATTAAATCATAAAAAGGTGAGCTAAACCTCCTCCCAGCCATTTTGATGAATAGCAAACCCCAAATTCACACTGGAAGTCTGATTTTCATGGCTGTCCTTAAGTAATAGACACATCTTGTTTAACTGAATTTGTTCAGTGTCCTAGGTTTATTGACAATTAATCCAAGGTTTGTTGGTGACAGTACAAGTCTAACCACAGTAACTACAGAAGGTCACGAGAACACCAGTATACCAGCAGATGCTACCAGAAAGAATCGCTCATGGCTGTTTCTATATTTATTTACTTTTAGACAAGTTCTCACTATGTATCGCTGGCTGGTCTAGATCTAGCTATGTAGAGCAGGCCTTAAAGTCAGAGAGCCCTCCTGCCTCAGCTCTCAAGTGCTGGGGTTGAAGGTGCACCACCACGTCCAGCTCACTACAGCTTTGTACGAGTACAGCTTGCTTACTGTGTTCTGTCTCCCTCAGCAGAGCTCAGCTCATTTTCTGACTCTGTGATATTATTGTATTACAACTTAAAATTAATTTGGACTTGTGAAAAAGGCCAACCCAAGCAAATGATCATTTTGCACAGTCTTATGTAAGTGTGAGAACTGAAAGAAATTCTTTAAAGTTCTTTTGGTTTTAATTCACCTTGTTTTAAGGAGAATTTGGCAGGGACCAAAGAAATACCAAAACTACTTAAAGGCAATGAATCAATTTAATTTTTCCCTTAATTTGAGTATAAAGCAAATTTTTCAAGTGGGCTATGGGAAGAAGAGGGGTGGATTTCTCCTTTGCATCTAGTTCCTTGGTGTGTGCACACAAGTCACAACAGCGTTGTTGGGAGAACAGAGAACATCTAAAAGTGAATCTTTACAATGTGATGTTTTAATCCTCATTAGACTGCTGCACAGATTACTTCTTCTAACAAACTGGAATTTCCAATAGATTGTATTTCTAGACACAGGACCTTGACATTTTACCCAGTCTTTAAAACAAGTTGACATCATTTACATGTGAACCTTGGTCTTGAAATTCATTCCATACCTCTCTTTCTGCTTTTCATACTGCCTTTAAAAAGTTCTCTTTTGTTGTTGTTTTCTCTCTCTCTCTCTCTCTCTCTCTCTCTCTCTCTCTCTCTCTCTCTCTCCTAATTAAGACAGGATCTGTTTATAGCCTTGGCTGCTCTGGAACTCTCTGTAGACCAGGCTGGCCTTGCCTTGAAGTCATAGAAAGCCCACTGCCTCTGCCTCCCTAGTGCTGGCATTGAAGGCGTGAGCCACCATATCCTGGCCTAAAAACGTTTTGATACCTAGTTTTGAAGCTACAAGTTAGATCTGTGTTTTCTCCTGTTCTTCATAATTCACCATTGTGAATACAACAACTGGATATTTCTTTAAACGATGGCCTGTGTATGTTCCATAGGTGTACTGAAGTAGTTAAAAACGTCTCCAGCGAACTTGCAGCTCGTGTCTTGTCTGAATATTCATGGGGTATCACAGCCTTGTTCAGTGTCTCCTTTCGAAGAACACTTTTGTACTGTAACTTATTTTTTATTATGCCTGAAGCATTGTGTAAATAAACCCTTAGTAATAAAGAGTTATGGATTTTATTATTTGCTTATATACAAATCTGCCAAATTCACATAGCAGTTAATAGCAAACAAAGGGATATGTTTTATCTTTGCTCCAGTTTTCTTAGTAGAGACAGTGATGGATGGAATTAATTTCTAGTAGATATATATGATTTCTATAGGTTTCTCATGTTGTTTTGGAGAGCTGGGAAATGGGCAAAATGATCCCACACATTTGGAAGACTCATTTCTTGAATCTAATCCTAAACCTTACCAGGGTCTTACTCTGAAGCACACGTTGATCTTGGTCCCCCTGCCTCAGTGTTGCAGATGCTGGGTCTACAGACTTGCCACCCTGCCTGGCTTAGTTTGCGGGACTTTGGAGGCACGGATACTCGTTTTTCCACTCTTATTCTCTTCATAGAGAGAACCACCAACTTTTGAGTCTAGTAAAGTATACTGTGAGAATGTCACAGCTAGGAAATATTTCCAAAAGCTGAGGCTTTTGCTTCCCTTCAGCTGTCATCGACCACAGCGGTTCCAGGAGAACTGGGTGACTACATCAGTCAAGCACGGTCCTGTACCGTCTGTTTTCAGAGGATGTCGGACCATCTCATTTCACGTCAAATATTTTGATAATATCCTTACTTTTGGGACGATTGATACACATACCCTAGTTCCCCTTCACCTCGAATACACGCTGTAGTGATTCATCATCACTGTCACTGCAGTCATTTAATAAGCATCCAATTCTGGATGATGTAATGGCTACATTAAAAGGAACAAGAACGATGAGGCAGAGCCCAATAAAGATTTATTTATTTGACCCTGTACGCTTGCCTATGTCTCCCTGAACTTCATATGAGAATCTATTGTGAAGGTTCAATTTAGACACTCTATAGAGATAGAGCTTCTGGATTACAGTCAGAGGATCAAGCCTGGTCATGCAGAATTCCATGAAAATATAATTGTTTCCCCAAAGTCCGTAGCCAATTTGAAGCAGAAGAGAGCAATAAGAGCCTTCTTAAGAGCCCAAGAATTGCTGATCAGGGAAACCAGGTAGGATTCTGGTAGCAAACCGTGTCCCTGAGGTAAATCCGGATGGCCATTTCATTGTCTCCGCGATGACGTCACTTCCGGTACCACCTGCGTGGTCCCCGGGAGTTGTAAACAAGGTGTGCAGGTGTCGGAGGAGCTGTCGGGATGCAGCAGCCAAGAGGAGCAGCAGGAGGCCGTGGCTGCGCTCTCTTTCCACTGCTGAGCATTTTGTTTGTCCAAGGTGAGTCCGCCAGCTGGCTGGGCTCCACTTCCGGCCTGGGGGGGGGTCAGGAAAGATGGTCGCTCTTCCGGTTCCGGGTTGAGGGGTCTCAGAAACCCCCCGCTCGGTTTCTGGGAAGGGAGGGGATGTGGGAGGATGGTTTTCCCGGGCTGGTACCACCCCCTGCGGAGAGCTGGTCCCTGGTCGGTCTCGGAGCTCTCGGAGCCGGACCACCCGTGTGACTTGACTCTCCCTGGGTGATGCCACGACCGGATGAAACCACAGCGAGCTCAGGCTTTGCGGACGCGCACTGTTCGTGTCCGAGCTTATCAGTGATTGTCTGCCAGGACTCTGTACTCCTGTGGCACCCTAGTCAGAGATGGGCGATTCTGTTTGTCCCAGATAGTTTGAGAGACACAGTCATGACCAGAGGCTGGGAAAAAAAAAAAAGAGAAAGAAAGGGGCGGGGGGAGGGGAGAAAGGAAAAGAAAATCATGATTTGGTCATTTTATTTCAGGGGCTATGAAATAAAACATTTTCGAGAAGGGTTATGGTGTGATTTTTCTTAGAGCAGGCATATTGTTGAAGAAAAGGCAACTACCTTAGCACTTTATGAACATTCTAAAGTGTAAAAGACACGGGGGTTCTTTTGAAAGTCTAATTTTTGACTGTTGTCAGCAGCACAGTGTTGACATAATGACAATATTGTAAAGTTTGGATTATTTTGCTTTCATGCTATTCCAAATTTCTAAAATTGAATCCAAACTAATTAACTCCATTTTGAGGTGCAAATATTTCCTGATTATTTTTTTCTGTGTCTGTTTGTGTCTTCCTAAGAAATAAAATGCTAGTATAGCTAGCATTAGAATGAGTTGTTGTAACATTTCCCTGAAAATATGGTCATTTCTGAAAGGGATCTTTAGTAGTTGTATAAATATGAACACATTTAGGTGGTGGAGTCTCATCAGGTAAAGTGAGGTTTTTTACTTATCTGGTGACTAATCTGCACACTGCCAGCACACTCCCTGCTCCCTCCCAGCTACCTGTGTCATCATAAGTGTCCAGATTTTCATCTGAGTTCTTTTTACAATGGAGTCTTACCTACTGTCACTTCCCATAAACTCCTCTCCCTCCCTCTCTCTCTCTCTCTCTCTCTCTCTCTCTCTCTCTCTCTCTCTCTCTCTCTCTCGTTTTCACACAACATGGGTGTTGGGGAGAAATGTTCAAATATTGTCCCATTAAGAAAAAAATTTCTGCCGGGCGGTGGTGGCGCACGCCTTTAATCCCAGCACTCGGGAGGCAGAGCCAGGCGGATCTCTGTGAGTTCGAGGCCAGCCTGGGCTACCAAGTGAGTCCCAGGAAAGGCGCAAAGCTACACAGAGAAACCCTGTCTCGAAAAATCAAAAAAAAGAAAAAAAAAAAAAAGAAAAAGAAAAAAAATTCTAGAAATGGTGGTCTTTCTGTAAACCTAGAAGAGCAGATGTCACATCTAGCAGAGCAAATGGTTCAACGTAAGTTAATTTGTGGGGGGTACTGGTGAGATGAATTGGTGGATTAAGGTGCTTGCCACGTAATCCTGAGGACATGGTTCCAACTCCAGAACCTACATACAGGTAGAAGGAGAGACCCAACTCAACAGAGTTGCCTCTAACCTCCACATGTGTGCACACGCTCTAATAATAGTTTTTAAGTTATTGATCTCTGGGTACTTCTTGAATAGATTTGTGTTCCTCAGCCAATCCTCCAAGTCTTCTTGAATAGATTTATATTTTGCCTTAAAAACCAGTCAGCCAACCAACCATCCAACCAAGGGGGCTGGGGAGATGGTTCAGAAGTTAAGGGCACTTGTTGCTCTTCCACAGACTGGTTTGATTACCAGTATCCAGATGGTGGCTCACAGCGCTTTATAACTCCAATCCCAGGAAATCAGATGCCCTCTCTGGCCTCCAAGGACACCAGACATGCAAATTCTGCACAGGCATACATGCAGGCAAAACACTCAAACACATAAAATAAAAATAAAGTTTTTTTAAAAAAAGCACAGATTTGTTGGTATGTAGCTCACTCACATGCTTATTCATTCATTAAATATACAGTTCAATAATTTTTAGTATGCACTAATTTATGCAGTCATTACAACCAATTTTAGAATATTTTCATCACCCTAAAGAAAAATCCCACACTCATTCCTACCTTCCACAGGCTCTGGAAACCACCAATTTACTGTCTTTACTTATGCCTCTGTCTGTCCTGGGCATTTCAAACACCGTAAACCAGGTGTGCCCCTTTGTGACTAGCTGTTTTCACTTAGCATGCTTTCAGTGCGTCATCTGTTTTTTGTTTTGGTTTTTGTTTGCTGTGTCTCTTTTGAATCTTAGGTGATAGAATTTGCTTCCCCACAAGTGTTTATTTGCTATCCCTCTTCAAAGATAGAACCCCTTAAATTGTTATCTTGTTTGAATCGGCCTGAAGTTGTAAGTCTGATCCTGCTTATTTCAGTTGGCTAAGTATATAGTAATGATAGACTAGGGGCTTGGGGATATAGCTCAGTTGGTAGAGTGTTTGCCTAGCTTGGATGAAACCTTGGATTCAATCCCTAGTATTGCAGAAACAGGGTATGGTGGCACATGTCTGTAATTCTAGCACTAGGAACGTGAAGGAAGGAAGATAAGAAGTTCAGGGTCATCCTCAGCTATGTAGTGAATGTGAATCTAACCTGAGAAACATGAGATCCTGTCTGAAAAAAAAAAAAACAAGAGAAGAAGGAGAGGGATGATGAGGAAGCAATAATGGTAGAGAACCAGCCCAGTATTATACTTTTCTCTTTTCATGTAAGTTCAAGTACTATGTAAATTCAAGATGGAGAGATTTACATTTTGTAAAATGGGATGTATAAAATTAGGAGCTATGTTTTGTCATATTTAATTTCTACCAGCTGTAAAATTATTTGTGTTAGAATGTGATTTTCTTTTCTCACCTCCATTAATTGGTTTTTAAAATTTTTTATGGTTTTTATTTGGCCAAAATAAATATCAAATCAGGGCATGGTGATCTCATCACTTGAGATGCTGAGGCAGGAGGATCAGGTGTTGGAGACCAGTCTAGCCTTGGCTACATAGCATGATCTCAAGAAACAAAACAAATAAAACAAAAATTAAATCTGAAAGGATGTTATGCTAAAATGGGGGAAATTTGAATGTATGTAACATAGGATTAGAAAGATTTTAAAGAAGGGAGTTGATAGAAATATGGAGAGGGAAGAGGACTGAAGAGAAGGGTTGGAGAAAGGGATAGAGAGAGGGAGGGAGGGAGGGAAGGAGGGGGAAGGAAGAGATGGAGAGAGTGGGGAGGAAGAGAGGAAGAGAGACTAGAACTCTGGAGAGCTAGCTGGAGGAACTACAGAGGTTCTGATTTCCATCTCTAACCCAGACCTTGTCTTTGCTCTAAAGTAGGTGTTAGCAACCATTCCCAATAATGGAATGAGTGAACATTTCAGCCTGTTGACGCACCTGCTCTCTCCTGCATCTCCTGTCTCTGCCAAGTGTGCAAAAGCAGCCACAAACAAACTAATGTTGTTGTATTCTAATAAAACTTTGTTTACGTGAAGATGTTGAAATGTTTTAGCTGTTTGCTGGAAGACCACTGGAGATGGATTGGTTTGGACAATCTGGGTTACCTGCAGAGCTGAGAGCAGGGTCACTGCTAATTATTATGAGTTTGCTCCCTTCTCACAAGAGCCATTTGCTCCCACTTGAGTCATGGGTCGTAGATTGCTGACCCCTGACGTACGGTTCTTTTTAGACATTATCCCTTAGGTATCAAAGACATCTGAACTTCCCCAGAATCAGATTCATGCCCCCCGCCCCACAAGCCTACTCTCCCTCTTTGAGTGGCTTTTCTAAGTAGAAACTGAGAGTCATTCTTGACCCCTTCCTTCCTTCTCATGCTAATTTCTTATGGGAACTGTCTATACATTCGGGTGATCCTTTTTTCCTCCTTTAGTACACCAGCCCAGTCTAGAAGTGATTAGCAAGAACTGATCTTTTCCTGAATGGATACAGTCAGACGTATCGACAGAGTTGTTGAGAATTCCATAAGGAAGGTGATAGGGAGAGAGTGAGTGAGCAGTGAACACATGTTCTAACACTAGTAATCATGGTGATCTCCCAGTTTCTCCCTGCCTGCCTTCTTCCCTCAGAATCTTTGCCCTGATAGTGCTTGTAGTTTGTGGAGGAAAGGACTTTTATAAATCAGGTGTGGTCATGGCGTATGTGCTTGGGTAGTATTGTATTATGGGAAGGAACTTCAGAGGAAGAGCAAAGAACTTCAGGGAATTTGGGCATCAGAAAGTGGGCTGGTATTCGAGCTGGTGGTGAAGGTGTGGGCTGGTATTCGAGCTGGTGGTGAAGGTGTGGGCTGGTATTCGAGCTGGTGGTGGAGGTATGGGCTGGTATTTGAGCTGGTGGTGAATGTTTGTGAATGTTGGGGTGTGGTGGGGAGCAACTCTGGCAGGATGGTGGGAATGGGGAGATCCTTCCAGACAAAGATATATTCAAAGAAAAGCATAGAGACATGAAAAGACATAATATCTTTGGAAAATGACTGGTCAGTCCAGGCATAGTGAACGGGTTAGGATGGGTAGTTGGCAGGTGTCTGAGACAGACTATTCCTGTTTAGATTTTAATTCACAGCCCAGCAGGGAATTAGTTCAGAATTTTTAGTATGTGTGGTGTCCACTTTAATACTAATAGTTGATATTTGTTAAAAATTTTTATCTTGAAGACTCTACGAAACATCCTCTGTGTATTTATGTATTTGTTTGCTTGCTTATTTATTGTGGTACTAGGGAGAGAACACAGGCTCACACACTCCACCACTGAGCTGTATCCAGGCCTGTATGTGTTTAAAGTGTATTGGATGTTCACAGTGATCCTAGGAGGTTATTCTTTCCATTCACCAATGGAACAGTTGAAGCCTGAGCAGGTTAGGGAACTTTGACCTAGGCCTCACAGCCCGAAGGCAGGTGGGCTAGAGCTTGATGCAGTTCTGGCTGACTCTAAATTACCCCTCCAAGCTCTATATTGTACTTAGGTTTTAGGATAAAAACATAGGATGAGGAACCTGTGTAATTTGTGGGTTCATTCTACCTTTCGGGTTTTAGACCTGGCTCTCCAGTGCTGAATAGGGTTTTTTCTTCACGTTCATGGGTCAGGAGTGAATGAAGGCTTGAGAATGAAGGCTTTTTCTGGCAGAGGAATGAGCGTTTGCAAAGGCACGCAAGAAATGGCAAGTTTAGCGTGGCAGTCAGAAAGGATGCTGTTCAGGGAACCAGTTGGCCATCATGTTTGAGATAGGTCGGATTCTTACTAAAGGCCTTACTAGCAAGCTCTGTCTTGGTCTCCTCCTTTCGGGAGGAATGTGACCAGACTAGATTGTTCAGAGAGGTGTGAGAAAATGATTCAAAGCCGGCAGAGGTAAAGGTACTGGGACAGTGACTCAGATACGCCAGCAGTAGGAAAGGTCGAGAGCCTGTGGGAGAAAGAGGAGGCGATATCAGCAGGCGTGGGGCGTTTGCTCAAGGTAGGTAGGCCTTCTGGGTGGTGTACGTGTTTTAACCCATGTAGTCCTCACAGGGACCTAGAGGGAAGCCCCATTTCTGCCAGGATGAGCAAACTGAAGGAGTAAGGTAACTTGCTGAGCTGCTCAGAGCCAGAGATAGGGCTGGAGTTTGAACTCAGATCTTCTGGCTTAGGCATCTTTGTGTTCAATCATTACACCATCCTGCCTTGCCAGAAAGACTGGATTTTGAGGCAGGGTGTGGATTTACTCTTTTCTGAAATTTTGCTATGCTCTATGTCCTTGGCTACAGAAGAACCTTGGATTAGTGAGGTAGAGAAGGAAGCAGGAAAACCAGAGGATAGTGTTTTAACTTCTAAACAGTGCTCTCCAGTGGGAGACGGATTCTTATTCACTGCTTTCCCAACAGCACATGGTTGGAAGAAAGTGCCCGGTTTTTGGTTTTTGTCTTCCTTCCTTCCTTCCTTCCTTCCTTCCTTCCTTCCTTCCTTCCTTCCTTCCTTCCTTCCTTCTTCCCTGCCCCCTCTTTCTTTCTTTCTTTCTTTCTTTCTTTCTTTCTTCTTTCTTTCTTTCTTTCTTTCTTTCTTTCTTTCTTTCTTTCTTTCTTTCTTTCGGAGAGATGGAGTGTCAAAGTTGGAATGAATGGTTTTGGAAAGACCACACTCTGCAGGCTTTAAAAATGATATCTTACTTTTACATTGTAGAACACATTCAATTATATTTTTCCTCTCCATAATTTACATCCTTTTTCTTTTTCTTTTCTTTTCTTTCTTTCTTTTCTTTTCTTTTTTTTTTTTGATGCTAAGTATAGAATCTGGGGCCTTCCAAGTTAAGGCAGGTGCTCTGCCCTTGAACTACACCTCCAGTCAGCCCTCCATAATTTACTTTTAATAGGTGTATGATTCACTACCCAGCTTTGAGAGGAAGCACAGCTGGGTGTGGTGGTACATGCCTGTAATCCTAGGTCTTAGAAGACTTAGTTAGGAAGACTGTGAATTTAGGCCAGACTTGGCAACATAGCAAAGCCCTGTCTCAAGAAAAAGGAGGAGGAGAGGAAGGAGAGGAAAAAGAGGAGGAGGAAGAGGTGTTAGAGAGAAGGATCAGCAGTTTAGAGCACTTACTGTTCTTCCAGAAGACCAGAGTTCAGTTCCTCTTACCCACATCACATGGCTCTCAAAACTCTAGCTCTAGGGGATAAGGCCTCTTGTCTCCATTGGCACTAGCACTTGTGTGGATGAACACACACACACACACACACACACACACACACACACAATTAAAAAGAATAAAAATAATTTTTAAAAAAGAAGAGGGGGAGGAGGAGAAGACTAGATATAACCCTTTAAGATAGTTTAAAACATAAATTTCCTATTTGTGTTTTCTATCCTCCTTTTGCTACTGGTTGAAACACTAGTAGCTTCATCGTGCTGTGATCATATTGCGTTTGGTTTGAGTCTCTCTCTCTCTTTTTTGGTTTTTTCTTTTTTCGAGACAGAATTTCTCTGTATAGCCTTAGCTGTTCTTGGCCGTCCTGGAACTCCCTCTGTAGACCAGGCTGGCCTTGAACTCACAGAGATCTGATTGCCTCTGTCTCTGCCTCTGCCTCCAGAATGCTGGGATTAAAGGCATGTGCCACCACTGCTTGAGTCTCTTAGACCTCATAAAAGCTGCTGTATTCCTGGAGCATGTGTGTGTGAGGGGGTGTTGGGGAGGGCACAGAATGAGAAGGAGTGGGTAGCGTTGCCTGTTAGTTATTATGGGCAACCTTCCTCGTTTGTATTTAATTTAACGACAAGCCTGTGTTTGGAAAAATGCTAGTGTGATTAGGTTTTTAATTTTTGCTCAACTATTTACTATGATTTGAGACTATAAAATGATAAATGTTATTAAAGATTAATGGGACTTAGCTCCTTGTTCCTCATGGATTTGTCTGAAAATACATTGAGGACCCTGGCTTTTGAGAGATCCCTGAGAGTGATACAAAGCATCTATAGTGTTCACTCACATTTGCATAAACCACCAAAACAACTGCATTGTAAGTGTTTGGGCTTGCCTCCATTAGGTGTGCCTACCGTCCTTTCTTTGGAGATCAGTGCCGATGCCCACGTCCGAGGATATGTTGGAGAAAATATCAAGTTGAAATGCACCTTCAAGTCATCTTCCGATGTCACTGACAAACTGACCATAGACTGGACGTACCGCCCCCCCAGCAGCAGTCGCACAGAATCCGTAAGTGTAGACTTTCTAGAAAGTTTCTTTGAGTGCCTGGCATGGTGGCACACACCTGGTAATTTCTGCATTGGTGAGGTTGGAAGATCAGGAATTCAAGGCCGTCCTCAGCAACACAGCAGGCTCAAAGCCAGCTTGATCTACCCTTAAAAAGATAAAGCAAGCCCGTGCCCATGCCCTCGTTCAGGGAATACAGAGGCTCCTGCTCTGCAAGCCCGATGACCTGAGTTCGATTCCTGAAACCCACGGGGGAAGGAGAGAGCCAACTCTCCAGTTGTCTTCTGATATCTACGTGTAAACCATAGCACTAGAGTTCCTACACGGACATCCCACACACCCCTACACACACACACACACACACACACACACACACACACACACACACACACAGAGTTAAATTTAGAAAAAGCAATAAAAATAAATAGGTCTTTGGAGTGAGTCAGTCTTCTGCCCCGTATGATATTTGTTTAATCACACAGAGCCTTTTGCTCGGCCATGTAAGACTCTTGCACATTATCTCAAGGAAAAAAATGATCAGAAACCAAGAGGAAATGTGGTTTAATTTGGTTGCCTTGTTGTTTCCTTCGGTGTGGCGTTACAGCTTCGTTTTAGATCTGATATACTAAAAAGGGCATCTCCAGGACGTGGGCTAGAGGAATTCCCCACTCACGTCACTGACATCCTTTCTCTGAAAGCTGCTCCAATCCTGCTGCTCACTGGGTGTGTCTGTCTGAGAATCCCACAGTCTGCAGATTTATCTTGGCTTCTCCTCTGGTCATGTAAACGTCTGCAGTGATTTATGTAGCTGCCTTTGAAGGAAACGGTGGCACCTTGTCTTGGTGACAGATGTCATTGGTGACAGATGGTCATGCAATATTAGAAGCAATATACTTTAGTCACACATATAAAACACATTTATGGTTCAAGTCCCATTATGGGTGTTTAATTAGAGATTACAATGCTGTAAAAACCCTTTCTCTTTATAGTTCCATCAGTTGCCTTAGTTCAGGATGGGTGCTATTTAAGAATATATTTGAATGTTGGGGCTGGAGAAATGGCTCAGCAGTTAAGAGCATTGACTGCTCTTCCAGAGGACCTGGGTTCAATTCCCAGCACCCACATGCTGGCTTACAACTTCCTGTAACTCCAGTTCCAAGGGGAATCAGAAACCCTGTTATGACCTCCCTGGGTACCAGGCATGCACTAATGCACAGACATACATACATACAGGAAAAACACCCATACGTATAAATTAGTCTTTAAAAAATGTTTAAAAATGTGAATGTCATAGCCATATGTAAATCAGATTTGTTTTCTTTACATTTTATTTATTTATTTATTTTTGTGTGTGTGCTACTGTGGGTGTATGAAGGACAGAGGACAAGTTGCAGAATCTAGTTCTCTCCTTCCACCCCTTGGATTCTGGGGGTGAGCTCAGGCCTTCAGGCTACATGGCAAAGTGCCTTTACACACTGAGCCGTCTCGCTCTCCCCAGACTGGATTTTAGAGAGTGTTCTTTTCTCTCTTCTCCTCCATTGGGAGGAAAATTGCCTTTCATCTTAGTGAATCCGCTTTGCCTGGTTCATCAGGAGCTGTCACTGGGTGCCGTGGTGTGGAGTGGGTCGGGTAACTGTGGCCCAGGAGACAAGGCTGGAGTCGAGCTTCCTGTCACTTTAGATTTAAAATAGTTCACTTTCTTCTGACTTGTCAGGAGGCCGTGGCTGACCTTATTTGGCTCTGCTTCCTTGTCCAAAAGTAGGACAGAGTGAGCAGTAGGGAGCTTCTTGGGTCAGAAACTCTATATGCAGACGGTGCTTCTCTTGGAGCACTGTTCTGTGAACCCAGTCAGGAAGCAGCGAGCTCATCTGAGTTGGAATCCATGGCATTTAAGACTCTTGCAGCTCAAGGTTGTGTGTGGAGAAGTGGTTAGTTTGTCAGGCTTACCAAGGAGCGAGGATTGGGGAGGTCACTAATTTAACATGTAATTCATGAATTAGATTAATCTGGAAGGTACACAGCAGGCCTTGTTTTGTCAATGAGGAATTTATTTTATTTTTATTTTTTATTTTTTTTCTTTTTGGTTTTTTGAGACAGGGTTTCTCTGTGTAGTTTTGGTGCCTGTCCTTGATCTTGCTCTGTAGACCAGGCTGGCCTCGAACTCACAGAGATCCGCCTGGCTCTGCCTCCCGAGTGCTGGAACTAAAGGCGTGCGCCGCGCTGCCCACCACCACACCCCGGCTCAATGAAGAATTTTTAAAGGCTTTTATCCTGATGATTGATAGGAGGCCTGTTTTTTGGAGACAGGCTTTTGCTCTGCTCTTGAAGTTAGTATATCAGCCAGGCTGGGGGTGATATTCACAGCATCCCTCCTGCCTCTGTCCTCCTAAGTATGGGAGTACATGCCCACGCCATCATGTTGGCTTGGTAGGCCTCCTTCTATCTCCCCCTCTGGAACACTCGTCACATATACATTAGTTCTTACTGTCTATAATTTACCAACATGTAAGCTCCATGAGAATAGAAGCCATGCCTGTGTGGCGCCCACTGTATCCCGTTCCTTTGCACACCTGGAATATGGGAGGTGTGCTAAGTGTCTGTGAAGGGAATTCTTGATGAAATTAACCAATGAGTGATTCAGCATCTTCTCTGAGGAATTTGCTCTTCAAAATTAGGCAATTCGGTGGTTGGAAACGCCTGCTGTCCTAAGTGGGAAGGTAGCAAGTAAACAAAGAAAGAGGGAAGCCTTCCGTCTTGCATAAGAGTCATGTTGACTGGCATACCTGCTTGCCACACCTTCAGGCGTAAATATGTGCTTTTGGTGACCAAGTGTCCAATCACACAAGTCCAAAGCAGTGTCGCCTTAATATAGCAGATACTCATTGTGCACTTCTCAGGCATTTGATGTTAGCTTGTATTAACTGCCACAGGAGACAACCCGAGAGAGACTGGATTGTCTTACACCTGCCCAGTGATATGGGAAAATGAAAATCTCCCTCTTGTCCCTTGCTAAATGTGTGCCTTGGGAGTACCTTGCTTCATGTTTTGATTTGGGTCTCATTTCTCTTCCTGTAAGTTCAGAATAGTTACACCTGCCTCACATGCTTTGGTGGTGTTATAAGGGCCAAGTGAGTAAACAGTGAAAGTCATTTGCAACCATGAAAAACAAACATTGGGTGTCACTTTGGAGTACAGTTTTCTCTACTTTGGCACTGTTGACATTTAAGCCTACGGGGATGTCTAATGCATCGTGGGAAGTTGAGCAGGGCCCTTGACGTCTACCCACTGGGTGCCTGAAGTCACATCCCTAGTTGCCACAACCAAAGTGCACCATGGGAACAAATAACCCGATTAAGCGGTAGGCAGAAGATCTGAGCAGACATTTCTCAAAAGAAGCAATATCAATGGTCAGATATATGAAAAAAAATCTCAGTGCCTCTAATTATAAAGGAAGTAAAAATAAAACTGTAATGAGATATCACCTCACAGACTACCAAAAAAGCTAGTATAAAATAGGCAAATTATGGGGCTAGAGAGATGGCTCAGAGGTTAAGCGTATACACTGCTTTTGCTGAGGACCTGAGTTTGGTTCCCAGTACCATATTGGGTGGCTCACAGGGGCCTGTAACTCCAGCTCCAGGGGATTTGATGACATCTCTGGCCTCTGTGGGTACCTACACTCATGTGCATGCACACACATGCAAGCATACACACACATACACACATGCACACGTAATGAAAAAATAATAAAAATAAGTCTTAAAAAGACAAATGACGATAAGGATTAGTCCAGGTTGAAGAAAAGGGAAATTTACTAATGTAAATATTACAGCTAATTTAGAAAATGGCATGGCAGTTCCTCAAAAACACAAATAGTTGGGAGATGTAGCTGAGTGGTAGAGCTTAGAGGCACAAGGCCCAGAGTTCAAGTCTCAGCCCCACACGAAAAGTCACATTGTGCTCCATAAATATTATACACAATTATTATTTGTCAATTAGAAATAAAGAAATACAATTTAAAACTTGGTGGGAAAAAGAATCTGTCCCCATTGTCAAATGTTTTGTGGAGTGTTGAAGGTGCCCCCTGCTTGAGAGTCATTACCTGGGGGCTTTAGGGAGAATTTGGAAGAAAGTTCTTGTTTAGATCTCTCTCTTTGTGTGTGTGTGTGTGTGTGTGTGTGTGTGTGTGTGTGTTGTGTGTGTGTGTGTGTGTTTGTGTTTGTATGTGTGTGTATGTGTGCATATGTGTATGGGTGTATGTGTATGTTTATGTGTGTTTATATGTGCATGGGTGTGTGTGTGTGTGTGTGTGTGTGTGTGTGTGTGTGTGTGTGTGTGTGTGGTGTAACATGTGAAGGTGCCCTCAGAGGCCAGAAGTGTGGAATCCCCTGGAGCTGAAGTTACAGGTGATTGTGAACTGCCTGATGTGGGTGCCGGGAACTGACTGCAGGTCCTCTGGAAGGACAGTGCTCTGAGCCGCTGAAGCCATCTCTCCAGCCATAGAAAAGATTTAAAGGTTGAGATCCCAGGACTCTCCTCAGTCTTTTTCTGATCAGTTTTATTAACTTGTCTCTCTAAGAGAGAGGCGAGAAAAGCATTCAAAACAAAACAAAACACCGACCGGGGAAAAAGAAAACCCTGTTTTACAGTTCTTTTTAACTTTGGATCTACTCAGCTTTTCCTTTCATTGTGTTTTCCAAGTTAACCTTTTCTCTTGTGTTATTGCTTTTTCAGATCTTTCACTATCAGTCTTTCCAGTACCCAACTACAGCGGGCACATTCCGAGACCGGATTTCCTGGGTTGGAAATGTGTACAAAGGGGATGCATCCATCAGCATCAGCAAACCCACTCTAAAGGACAATGGGACGTTCAGCTGTGCTGTGAAGAACCCTCCAGACGTGTACCACAATATCCCCCTGACAGAGCTCACGGTCACAGAAAGGGGTAAGTTGCTCACTGCCAGGCTCCTGCCGTGCTGTGACTCCTCTGGGACTTACCAGTTGGCTTAGAGGATCTGGATCACTGTGTCAAAGTTGTTGTCTTCATATGCCTGTTAAGATTAAATTTTAGCCAGGCAGTGGTGGTGCACGCCTTTAAATCCCAGCACTTGGGAGGCAGAGGCAGGCGGATCTCTGTGAGTTCGAGGCCAGCCTGGGCTACAGAGTGAGTTCCAGGAAAGGCACCAAAACTACACAGAGAAACCCTGTCTCGAAAAACCAAAAAAAAAAAAAAAAAAAAAAGATTAAATTTTAAACCATTAATTTATTTTGTATGTGTGTTAGTGTGTAGGCATGCATGTTACAGTGTGTGTCTGGAGGTCAGAAGACAACTTGTAGGAGTCGGTGGGAAGAGCCTTTACCGGCCGAGCTCTCTCAGTTTTGATTTTGAAAACTGAATACTCTCTTCCAACGTTGTCATAGTTTCTGCATTGTCTCTTTCATGTTGTCTTCAGGTGACCGAATGTCTTGTGGAATGCTGAGAATCCCCCAGGTTCATGAAGGGCGATTGTGAGTGATGAGGAGTCATTCCAGTTGTCCGGTCAGGTTCAGGCTTCGGTTAGGAGACTGTTGGTGCAAAGGTGCTCCCTCTAGGAGTGGGCAGCATTACATTTCTTTCAGGCTACAAAGAGCAGCAGTTTCCTTCTCCTGTGGAGATGAGGCTGAGAATGCCTTTTTTCAAAATGTCCCTGTGGTGACTAGTACGTGCTTATTTGCACTTGAAACTGAATTTGAACCAAAGACACAGAGACACATTCTGAGTCATTGTAACTGCCTTATCGTTTTTTGGGGCTTCCCTTCCTCCTCTCTCTCCTCTTCCTGCCTTGATTTTCTCCCCTCGTCCCCTCTCCCCTCCCCCACCTTTTTCTTTGTCATAATTGTCATCTGGTTTGGCAATAACTCACTCCACATTTACATAATCATATCCCTGGCAGGAGTAGAGTTCATTTTTCTGAAGGCAGTTTAGTAGTAGAAGTCATATTTCCTAAAATTATATTCCCTTAAACATATATTCCCTACAATTCTACTTTAAAATTTCATCTCAAGAGACAGAGCTAAACACTAGAATTTATATACAAGAGTGGTCATTTTAATATGATTTGTGGAGTCAAAGAATTTGAAATAACTTGAATGTTCAAAGTTAGAGGATTGATTTGCTAATTGATTCAGAATACTATGTATTGTATTTTTGTTTGTTTGTTTGGACAGAGCCTCACTATGTAGCTCTGGCTTTTCTAGAACTTACTTTGTAAACTATGAGGCTGGCCTTGAACTCATGGAGATCGCCTGCCTTTGCCTTCTGGCTGAAAAGACCTTTATAATCAAGACCTTTTTAGTCACATCAAAATATATCTATCATGTGTTAAGCCAAAATAGTGTGAAAAATAGGACTTCTGCTCTTACAAATATGCATCCTGCCTCATATGTGCTCCTGGAAAGAAGAACTCCTAGGCGATGGAGTTATGTGTATATGTTTATGCTTCTTGTATTTCTTTTTGTTTTCTGTGATGCATTTATTCCTTTTGTGGTTAGAAGCCTGAGCGAAGGCAGGGATCTGAAGCCTGGGCCTGATCTGAAGTAAGGCTGCATGGGCACAGCCTCTCCCCGTGTTTCCGACAGGTTTCGGCACCATGCTTTCCTCTGTGGCCCTTCTCTCCATCCTCGTCTTCATCCCCTCGGCCGTGGTGGTCATCCTGCTGCTGGTGAGGATGGGAAGGAAAGCGGCGGGGGTGAAGAAGAGGAGCAGGTCTGGCTATAAGAAGTCTTCCATTGAAGTTTCCGACGAGTAAGTCCCACTGGAGTCCCCAACCGTGAGCCTGTTTCCTTTTCACAGCCCTGAGCTGGGGCAGCACCTGCACTCCGCATCCACACACCTTTCCTCCCGGGCTGAAGTTAGCTCTAGTGCTGAAATGTCCTTCCAAATGGAATAGATCCGTGAGGGGTACCAGAGGAAGATCAGAGTGACATTTGTGGGCATCGGGCACGGAGGGAGCTTCTGCTTCAGGAACCACACCGTACAGTACTGTGGCTCCACACGGACATTTTGAGCGTATATCTCGTTCTTTCAACATTAAAATAAAACTCCAAGTCAGAATTTTTTTCCCCCTTTTTTTGGGCACTGAGCTAATGTCTCCTAACAGAATATGCATGAGCAATGAAGGAGGCTTTGAGAACAGTCCTGAGGGCAAACGAAATTTAAATAAGATGTGCTGTGCGTGGTCAGCAGACACTCTGAAAGGGCCAAATGGGTGTAGTTACTGTCTTAGTCACAGTTCTAGTGCTGTGAAGAGACACCGTGACCAAGGCAACTCTCATAATCATTTCGTTGGGGGCTAGCTTACAGTTTCAGAGGCTTGGTCCTTTATTATCGTGGTAGGAACATGGCAGTAAGCACGGTGCTGGAGAAGGAGCTGAGAGCTACATCCTGATCTGGAGAGAGAGAGAGAGAGAGAGAGAGACAGACAGACAGACAGACAGACACAGACACAGAGACACTGGGCCTTGCATGGGCTTTGGAAACCTTAAATCCCATCCCAGTGACATACTTCAACCAACAAGGCCACACCTCCTAATCCTTCTAATCCTATCAAAGAGTTCCACTTTCTGGTGACTAAGCATTCAAATATGTGAGCCTTATCCATATATTCATTCTTATTCAAACCACCACAGTTATCAAAAGCATTTATTAATCACCATTCTGCCAGGGGGCAAGCACCATCCAGTAGTTTCCCAGGAACAGATTTACTTTTTAAAAGGAACTAAAATGTACATTAAAGCTCCGTAGCCGGCATGAAGCAAGCACCTTTAATCCCAGCACTCAGGAAACAGAGGCAGGCAGGTTTCCGTGAGTTCAAGTTCAGCCTGATTTACATAATGAGTTCTAGGCCAGCCAAGGATACATAGTGAGACCCTATCTCAACAAAACAAAACAACTCGAAAAAAAAATTCTGTGATGTTTCTGTTGTCTGTGAAAGAACTCTTAACCTATGGATTAGGGAGTCTTACCTTGGGAAGTTCTGAAGTTTTCTCTCTGTCTGTGTGTTTATTTATTTACTGGAGAAAGACTTCCCTTTTCAAGGAATCTGTAACACACACACACACACACACACACACACACACACACACACACACACACACACACAAACACATGGAAAGAATTACTGGCAAAAATACCAGTGTCTGTTTCTAAGCACGGTATATAAAACCCTCTGTGGTCTGTTCCTAGGTCACATTGTTTCCATCATTTGTTCTCACTCACTCTATAGTCATCTTATTTTTTTTTCTCCTAGATATACTATAGTAAGTTGTGTGTATGTACATGTCTGTCTGTCTCTACCTGTCTAATGGGAACTATAAGGGTTCAGCCCCTTGATAGTCCCTTCCCAGGGTCTGGGAAGAATCTACAACCAGCTGATAATTAATATTTGATGATAGGAAATGAATCTATGTACACGGAACTCCTTAGTCCATACACTTTATTATTCTGAGTCAGTTCTCTCTCCTCACAGCTTCTATTCTGCTCTCATGCCTAGCTCCTTTCTTGCCTGATTTCTCTCTACATTTATCTGCTGTCCCCTCTAAGTTCTATCTTAATTCTCTCATCTTAGTTCTGCCCTGTCTAGGTTCTCATCCATCTAGTTCCTTCCCATCTTAGCTCCTCTCCCATCTCCTTTCTCATCTTGTTTTTCCTAATCTTGTTTTTCCCCATCTGGCTCTTCCTCATCTTCCATCTTGTTCCTCTAGTACTTTCTTCTAGACCTTCAATCTAGTTCTTCCCCATCTAGTTCTTCCATTTTCTTTTCTCTTCTCTGTCTCGTCCTCAAGTTCTCCCCCAAATCCTCTTCTAAGTCTCCTTATCCCTCTCCACTCCCTCATCTCTCTGGTATTCAGTTATAAAACCAAGCAATAGCAATCCTCTGGCCAAGCAAGGTCACCAGGTTTGAATTCTTACAGGGTCATAAAGGCAGATAAGAGTTTTCCTCAGGGAAATAAATCAGGCTTTCTTTTACAACCCAAAAGGGAAGTAGTAAAGGAGGAGGTCAACTGTGAGCTAACAATTGGTTAGTATATCAAAAAAGGGGGATTTATGTGCTCAGTCTACATCCCTAGAAGTGGTCAAGTAAGATGTTAGGAGTCTATAATGTTAGTAAGGCTGTATAAGGAAGGAGGGTCTCAGCTTAAATTGCACAAGAAATAAAGCTATCCTCCTGACCTAGGAGACAGGTGTTGTTTCCATAAGGGTGTTACCTTAGTTCAGGAGATCATTTGGCCTTGGATGCTTGATAGGTATTTTAGGTAAATACACTGTTAGGAGTTCTTGGAAGCACACATAGCATATAAGAAAATCACTGTAGGAACTAGCTAATATATATACAAAAGCTAAAAATATCATGAAGACTTCTTAAGCCATGGCTTGACCTTCAGAAAAGTCCTTGACTTTTCCAAGTAGTAGCTTTTGCCATAGTAGCTGGATTCCATTACATTTTCCTGTGGCCTGCTGCACTTGTCCATCCATCTATTCATCCATCCATTTTTTTTCTCCTGACCCCAACATTCTTGGAATCACCCCCTTCCCTCTCTCATTTGTCTGGAAGCTTTCTTACCCTCCAGGACCAAACCGTAATGTCTCCTTCTCATCATACTCCTTGAGTCCTGAACAGACAGCTGGTCCCTCTCTACCCTGTGCTGCATAGCAGTTCCACCCTGTTAGAACATTATGGTATTGTATTATAGTACACATTAGTTCTTACAGTTCTCACTGGCATGGGATTGGGAGCTCATCAACAGACCAGGTTCTCTTTACCTCTGTTTGCACCCTAGCATGGCGCTCCAGCCATGGCTGGTGTTCGGTACTTTTCTGAGTGAATGATGGTGACTAGCTGCTACTTCTCTAGCACTTGCTGGGTGTTCTGATACATGTCTCATGCACATTTATTTCTTACTTATTCCTAAGGACTCTGTTTAAGGGTTGGCTATAAAACCAATCATGTGATTTCAGTACCTGAGCTTGGAATTGTCCCCTGCTAAGAACAGTGACAGCTGAGTTTTGCTTTGTGTTCATTCCACAGCACTGACCAGGAGGACAACAATGACTGCATGACAAGGCTTTGTGTCCGCTGTGCCGAGTGTCTGGTAAGTGCCCTGTTTCTTTTGTTTGGTGTTTGCTCCTCTTCCTGCCTATTTGAAGGATCCTTTGCTCCAAGACAAACAGAAACATGCCAGCCAGCACAGGAAAGTATGAACCAGGGTCTCTGGCAACCCCTACCAATTCTCAACTTGATTTTTTATTTTTGAAAAATAAAATTTAGATTTTTTTTTAAAGTATAAGAGTATTATGTGTGCATGTATGTCTGTGTACCACCAATGTGCCTGGTGTCTGCAGGGGTCAGAAGAGGGTGTTTGACTGCCTGCAGCTGGACTTACAGATGCTTGTGACCCATCATATGGGAGCTTGGAACAAAACCCAGGTCCTCTGTAAGAGCAGCAAGTGCTCTTAACTGCTCAGCCATCTCTCCAGTCCTCATTTTAAAAATTACATTTGTTTATTCATGCTACAGTGAGTGCATGGAGGTCAGAGGACAACTTTTGGGGGTTCATTCTCTCCTTTTACCATGTGGGTCCCAGGGATCCAACTCACATCATCAGGCTTGACAGCAAGCTCCTGTACCCACTGAGCCATCTCATCGCTCCGTGATTTTATTTTCTGTTTCATGGGTGTAGAAAAGGGGGCAGTGTAAGCTACCGACTGATAAACAAACAAACAAACAAACAAAAAAATCCAAAAAGCCCTATTGAATTTTTATAAGGGGGTTTCAAGTTTCTGGACTCAGAACCCTGAATTGAACTTCTCTGATGAACCCTGGTATTTTACATGAAGTCGGGATGTACAGCCTTTAGGTGATTTGATTGGTGTCTTTTATCACCAAGAAACACTGTATTGGCAGGTCTTCATCTTGGTTTAAATCTCTAAAGGCCTAGTCCCTCTCTGAGCACACACAATGACTCAGGCTTCTCTGTGGCTGTCCTGGGATCTGAGGAGCGGGGAAGACTCTGATGTGGTGCAGCTGGAGACGCCTCAGAATCAGCTTGTGATCGGGTGTGAAGCGCACCCATCCCTGAGTCTTCTCTGTCCCCTTGTGATCGGGTGTGAAGCGCACCCATCCCTGAGTCCTGTCTGTCCTCACTGCCGAGCTCAGTACTCCACCAGACGAGTGCAGTCCCATCTCGCTCACCGGGCCTCTCATTACTGTGACTTCTGTGAGCTTGAGGCTCTTGTGTGAGATGAGAAAAAGTTGTAAGTTTATGAAGAAGGACCTTGTCTCAACTCTCCAGGGTTTGAATACTTTGATAACACAAAGGAAGAGAGTTATTATCCACATTTCTTGCATTAATTTGTTTAATGATTTTTTTTTTTTTTTTTTTTTTTTTTTGGTTTTTCGAGACAGGGTTTCTCTGTGTAGCTTTGCGCCTTTTCCTGGAACTCACTTGGTAGCCCAGGCTGGCCTCGAACTCACAGAGATCCGCCTGGCTCTGCCTCCCGAGTGCTGGGATTAAAGGCATGCGCCACCACTGCCCGGCTGTTTAATGATTGTTTACTGGCATCTGCCGTAAACAATGCCATGTGTACCATTCTAGGTGCTTAGAAAATAGAGGTGAAAAGATAAAAATTCCTGCTCTTCAAGGAGAATGTTCTCTCCCTGAAAAACTCACTCACATTCTCTAACATGCAGTTGAAATAGCATCTTGTCTTAAATTGGGGCATAAACACTGATAGTTTTTTGAAAATGAGTAAAATATTCAGTATATCGGGCAATATTTAATTCCAGCAAATATTGCAGAAAGAAAGCAGAGAAAGGAGAGATGGCCAAAGGACTGTGGTGTTCGATAGGATGCTTACGAGCAGCCTCAGTAAGATGGCATTTGAGAGCGTTCCTGAGAGAAGTCAACAGCTAGCCACACAGCTTCCTCGGGGGGAGAGCTTCTGGAAGAGATTGTGGGTGCAAAGGCTCAGAGGAGAGGGCACGACCTGCATGTCTAGGAACAGCAAGGGGGGAATGTGGAAGGCAAGAAAGGAGGGCAAGAACGGAGGCTGCTGGAGTCAAAGGGTTAACGCAGCGTCTAGATCTTGTAGAGGGTTTGGTCACCTGGACTCTAAATGAAGTGGAGTGCATTAGAGGGGACTCGAAGAGAAGCGCTGTGGACTGATGCGTGGTTTCAAAGTGTCAGTCTAGTTTGTGTGGTGAGAATGGTGGTCGGCGGCCACAGCAGGGTCAGAGAGCTAGTCAGTGGGCATCAGCCAGAATCCAAGTGAGAGAAATCCGTGGTAGAGGTGGTGAGAAGCGGTTGTAGTCTCTATTCTGGCTTGAAAGTAAAGTCAGAAGAATTTACTGGCATTTGTTTAAAAAAAATGAGAAGAAGTAAGGATCATTCCAGAGGTCTTGGGCAACTAGTAGAATAGAACTGACATTTTCTAGAGCAAGATTGAAAATGTTTTAATTAAACCTTAAGATTTTTGTTTTAGGTGTGTGTGTGTGTCTGCCTGCATGTGTGCCTGTGCACCCTGCCCATGCAGTGCTCGTGGAGGTCAGAAGAGGACGTCAGATACCCTGGAAATTGAGTTACAGATGGTTGTGAGCCACCCTGGGAGTGCTGGGAATCAAACCCAAGTCTTCTGGAAGGGCAGAGGATGCTCTTAACTACTGAGTCATTTCTCCAGCCCCAGAGCAAGATTTAAGAGTAAAATCAGGAGTTGAATTTGAACATATTAAGTTTGAGATGTGCAGTGGACATGTTTTCAGAACAGAGGCCTAGTCTGGAGATACGACCTAGAAGCCATTAGGAGATAGAGATTGATGAAGATATCAAGAAAATCGATGTGTATGTATGTAGGAGAGGTTAAAGGACTGAGCCTGGAGCTCTCCAAGGCTTTTAGATTAGAAAGGCAAAGAGGAATTAGCAAAAGAGGATGAAAAGGGATGACCTTTGAAGTTGGGAGACCACCAAGAGAGTTTGGTATCTTGGGAGATGGGGAAGAATTTTTCAAGGAACTGGGAGTTCACTGTTGTTTTGGTGATGTGGAGGTTACTGGTGATCTTGGCAAAAGTAGCTCCACTGGGATAGTGAGGGCGCTGTGGAAGGGGCAAGAATCGTCACAAAGATACGTTGGAGGAAGTGAGTGCAGATAGCTTTTCTAAGGCAGGATGCAGAGAAATAGGGCAGTGGGTAGAGGATGCTGCGTGTTGAGTTGCTTTCTATGATGGGCAAAACAGAGCACATTTCTATGCTGTTGTGGGTGATCCAGTGGAGAAGGAAAATTGATGCTGCAAGAGAGAGAGAGGAGAGAATTACTGAGTTTATATAGGAGGTGTCACAGAAGAACATAGCTGTAGATGAAGGCGTAAGGGCAGTAGAGGAAAGCTGGGTCTGGTGGCGCACACCTTTAATTCCAGTACTTTGGAGGCAGAGGCAGGCAGATCTGTCTAAGTTGGAGGCCAGCCTGGTCTACAGAGCGAGTTCCAGGACAGCCAAGGCTATATAACCCTGTCTTGAAACACCAACAAAACAAAACAAAACAAAACAAAAAAAAGGAGAAGAAGAGCTGCACTCAAAAGTATGTTACAGAGTGCTGGTCAGAGTGTTGAAAAACTGTTGTTTCATGTAGTTCTGTGAGGTATGTTTTTATTATCTCCATTTCAGAGATGCTGAAGCTGTCACAGAGAAGTTAAATAACTATGCAGGGTCTCAGTGTCCTTTAGCTAGAAAGGTTGGAACGAGGTAAACGAGCTCCTAACCTCAGCCCTGCACGTTCTGCTATAGGCAAGCATCTTTTCTGGTGTGTTTAGGTTCTAAAGTACAGTCATAAAGGAAAAGAGAACCATTAGGGCTTCAAAGCAGTAATCAGTCCGCTAGACGCATTGTATTGCGGTCCTGTGATGCTGCATGGAACTTAGGTGCTATCAGGGATATCCCACTATTGTTACCCCAAGCTAGGTAGGTTCATTTGGAGACCCCAGACACATGGTCTTTGCCTACATCTGACTGTGGCATTGTAGTGCACAAACATCTGCTATTCTTGCCCCTTTAGGATTCAGACTATGAAGACACGTACTGATGAAGTGTGTGTGTGATGGAAGCAGTGTTACCTAACCACAGGAAACATCCCATTCCTCTGGCCAGGAGTGCCACTGGCGGGGAAGCAGTGACAGAAGATTCCGAAGGTCATCGGTGAAGACGTTAAGGACCATTTATTTATTGAAGAAGTGTTTGCTTTGTATTTATAAACTGTTCAGAAACTTCCAGAAGGGACTCATGCCTTCCCTTCTTAACACACTCTGACTGAACAAAGAAGTTCTCGTCTTGAACAGAAACACACCCCTTGGTTTCCCTTTGCTCTTGAACGTAGCTCGTGTTTTCTTCCAGTTGCCTGAAGGGGAACACTAAATGCCTGTCACTCTGCTGATGCCAAGATTGTACTTTTTAATGATGTGGAGCTTGTAGCTTCCTGATGATGTGCCAATGAACAACACACCTGTTTGGGATGGGTAACCTTTGCTTCTTCACGCATGTTTTCTGTTGGGAGAACTCAGTATGCCCTACATGGTTTAATGGTCGTCGTCAGTTGTGTTTGGGTGACTTGGGGTATTTGGCCCCGATTTCTTTAGACTCAGTAGGCTCACAAGTTGTAGGCTTGCTTTGACGGGGCCTTTTAAATATTAAAGTGTTATTGTCAATTTACAGTTAAGGAAGCAAGTTTTGAGGTAGAAGAGTCTTCCTCATTTTTCTTGCTAGGTACACTTTGGGCCGAAGAGTCTGCTCTTTTGCGTTCCTGCAGCTGACTAATTTGTGGTTTCCTCCGTGGTTTTTCAAGTCAGAGGCCAGAAATGCCTCTTACGAAGAAGGTTTCTAGGGGCGACTTCTGAAAGACGTTTTGTAGTCCTTTGCTGTAAGTCTTACCACTTTTCTTGTGTTGTTGTTCAGAACCTTTGCTAGTTCTGAGCTGCACCAGTGGTGGGCATGCAGTTCTATCTGCAAGCTGCTTTCCTCAGCCCCGGAGATGAGGAAGTGAGGTTGCACAGGACATCTCCCTTCTCTTGCAACCCACTCCTCTACTCTCCTTGTAGCAACTTATGTAAAATTTTAATTTATAATGGGTTTTCTATAAACCATTAAGACGTACCTGATGTATCAGGAAGGACTGAGAGCGTGTGTGCAAACATCCCTCTCTATAGAGTAACAGGGCTCACTTCGATTGTGAGAGTCGCAAGTGACCCTTCCCCCAGCCCTGGTTGTTTCAACATGGTGATCTTCTTCATGGTTCTTCCTAAAGTGGCTTGGGAGGGCTCCATATTAGTGTTATATGTTATGTATCTTATAAAAGCCATTCTACTTACCACCAAGATCTTATTTTTGAAACTGGGATCATTAACTCTGCTTTAAAGATTTGTTAATCTAGCCTGCTGATTCATGAATCTGATGAGCTGATAAGCACTGTGATTTAGCTCTGGTCATGGAAGCCCGTGGAAGAGGAAGAACTGGCCTTTTACATCTCTGGTGGCTAGACCCCATGGTTCTTTGGGTACTTGTTAAAGATGTGTCTGTCTGTGGCCACTCCAGTGAGACCCTTTCTGACAGATCAACAGAGCAGAAAGCATTCCGGTACCAGGCACAAATAACTGGGCTCTTGCAGATCTGAAGAGAGTGATCCAGTTATGAGGGGGCATGCTGTGGGCCTCTGACAGAGGGGTTACAAGAACCCATTTAAACCATTACCCCGTGAAAATGAGGGGCCAGTTTTGGTGTCTTAGGATTTTCTTGCAAGTGTGTTGTGAGGCATTGTCTAGTTCAGACATTGATGGGTTAGGTGACCGATGCCTGATGAACACACACACACACACACACACACACACACACACACACACACACACTTGTGTACCCTGTTTTGAAATGGCCCTTTCTCTTTTAAAGGACAGACCATGGAAGTCCTTCATTGTAAGGGAGTAAGGCAGTAATTTATTTGCTCCGTGGGTTGGTGGTGGCATCCCAGGCCCAGGCTGCCCTCAGTGTCCCTCCTCAGCCTTTTGCCGAGGTTTGCGCTGCTATAGCTTTTTGATCCTAAGGACGATAAGGCAGTCTACAGAATCCTACCTTCTTTACGCATGAATGTAAGATAAAGGCTTTTTGTTTGACTTACTGTTTTAATATCATCTGAGGTGCCATTCTCATACTTTTTTTCCTCCCTTTTTGCTGCTCCGTAGGCTCAAACCACATGGCATTATAGCATTGTCTGGAAAGAGATGTAAGTCTTTCATTGTGGTTCTATCACCTGAGTTTTATGCATTGGGCTCTTAAAACTGTTACAAAATGTAAATTTATAAAGTGCTTTATTTTCCCTCTGTGACCTGTCACTTCAGGCTACTTGGGGACATTTTAACTGTCTGCAGCTCCTGAGTCAGGCAATGGTGCTTGGGAATGGAAAGTTGCACAGCCCCCCATGTGTATGTGTGTGGGGGTGGGTGGAGGGGGTGGGGGTGGGTGGATGTGAAACCTGGAGGCCAAATCCTGAGCCAGAATGTTCCATTGTATCACGGAGTTCCCATTCTGAAGAGAGACTCTAAGAAGATCCATAGAGTGGACCAAGACTCTTATTTAATTGCACAATTCAAAACTTTCCTGCCAGAAGAGTCTACTCCGGTGTTGGACTCTTCACTGCTGTATCTCATTGACTTTTAAACTTTAACTTTTTGTTCGTCGGCGGGTGTGAGCTGTAAGTATGTATGTGTGCTACGTGCACATAGACATCGTGACTCGTGGACTCCTTACCCCACTGTAGTTAATAAACTTCTTTGCACCTTGTGGCTACCCTTTTCATGTTTGTCTACATTAAAATGAGAAGTGTTGTGTGGAAGAGGGGTTTGTGGTTTTCAGCATTGAGAAAGCTGTCTGAGCTGTATGCCGGCAAGACTGAATAGATCCAGTGGCCTGATGGAGCCAGCTCACACAGCAGGAGCTGATTGATGGGTTGCATTTCTAGAAATTTTGTGAGCCAAGTGGCAAACTGTTGGCATGAAATAGACTATAGTGGAAATATTTGCACGCAGCCCATGCAGCATGGTCCTTGAGGTGAGAAAACATTCAATAGTTTTCAGGACAGGACAAATTCCAAAAGATGAGCATACCCAGGCTTGGGTCAATCCAGCAGAGCTAAGGGTGAATGTGTGTGCGTGAGAACACTAACTTTGAAGTGGTATCTTGCAGTCAGGAAGCCCCACGTTGTTCCCCAGGATGCCAAAGCTGCTCAAAGTGTTTGCTAGGAGAATAACTTGTTCCCTGTGTGCTGGCAACCCTCACAGTCAGAGGAAACCTACACAGCAACATGGTGGGCTGGAGCACCCGGCAGGTGAATCTTTGGGAGCAGCTAAAGGATGATTGGTTAGCCCGGCTACATATCTATAATAAGAGAAGAAGAAGAAGAAGAAGAAGAAGAAGAAGAAGAAGAAGAAGAAGAAGAAGAAGAAGAAGAAGAAGAAGAAGAAGAAGAAGAAGGGAAGCCGCTGTATCTGAAACACAGCCAAATGTTTTTTACTCATCTTAAATTAATTGTGCTTTGTTTACATAAAGCTGATTACTCAGCAAATGCCTCATGCCTTTCAAGATTTTTGTTGTTGTTTTGTTTCATTTTGACAGGGGCTCACTGTCCATCCCAGGCTGTCTTCTCCTGCCTGAGCCTTCCGGGTGCTGAGATTTCAGACATACATCACTCCACCTGGCCCATTTGAGATCTTGCTTGCAGAGTTTGTAACAGAAGGGGAAGTAAAACCTGCAGGGACCCAGGATATGAGGCTCAACTTACTAAGCTGCATACAGTCCTTCATTTTAGAATAAAAATACAAATGTCCCGAATGGGACATATGTACCACCTCCTCTAAGGCTCAGGGAACATCACAGAAGAGGAGGCAGAAAAAGATGTAAAAGCCAGAAGATAATGGAGTGCTATGCTTCTGGATATGACATGGCCATTGTAATCATGTGCACACGAAAGCTGTGGCTACCTGCATAAGACCTGCATGCATGCACACACACACTCACATGTACATGCAGACACACACACACACACACACACACACACACACACATACATACACACACACACACACACACAAGCAAGAATAGGACTAGTTGGGAAGAGAAGGGGGATCCTCAGGGATAAGACGGGGAATAAGAGAAGAAAATGGGGTGAATATGGCCATCCCAATACATTGGCTAACATTCGTGAAATTGACCAAAATTAATTCAAAAATAACGAAAATGTAAATGCAGATTGGGTAGTGAGACTGGTGACTGAAAGGAGAAGCTTGATCTGAAGGTTCCTGTTTGTGTTTCTGTAGCCACCTCAGAAGGCACGCAGACATCTGATTGCTTTGAGCCTGCCTTCCTCGGCTGGCAGATGTCTCTCGGTTGGTGTGGGGGATGCTGTGACAGGAGATCGTGAAGCGTTGCTTTTTCCTGGGTGCTGTCATCTTGGGTAAGCAGTGACTTGGTGTGCTGTGAGCCATTGAACTGTTCTGAGAAGGTGGCTAGTCTTCATTCCAAGGAAAGCTGGTTCAACTGCTGTAGGATGAGGAGGCCATGCATAGAGCTCCCGTTCTCCACAGTGGGGGCTGCCATGAGGTAGACAAGTAGGTGCAACTTTAGTTTTAGTAGTGTGCTTTACGTCAAGGTTCTCAGAGAAGAGAGAAGTCAGCTTTGCCATAATAAGCGTGAGCGAGGCCATCCATGGGCTTCAGCTCTCCTGTTGCCTATGGCTTTAGGCAGAATTGCGACTGGCCGTCCTGGAGCTCATGGCAGCCCTCCCACCTCCCTGTTTGTCTTCTCCCTGTTCTGGATAAATCAACATGTCTCCGAGGTAACAGTTCAAGTCTCCCAAGAGAGCTGGACTACCCTGGCTTAGCCCAGACCTCCAGAAAGACAGACGGAAACTGAATTAGGACTAGCTACCTGCTAGTCTGGAGGGAGCAGGAGATGGTTCCCAAGGTCCCATCTGAGTAGCATGTAATCTAGGTTGTGCTTCAAAAGCACAATGCCCGCCCGCCCCCCATCTGTATTCCATGGTCTCAGCAGGAAAAGCAAGGGCATCTTTTAAGAGGTTTGTATTGCAGAGTGGTCACGAGGACTTGGATATGTACAAATTTCTGAGAGTCCAAAGGTGCACAGGAGCAGACGGGAGTTGAAGGAACTTGGCGTCACAGTGGAGTGGCAGGAGCGGGAAGCTGTACAGCTGTCTGTGTTTCTGCGGTCTTTGTTATTACCAGGGGCGAACTGGCTAGGAGACAGCAAGACCCTGTTCTTCCACTGCCTTGCAATATTGTCATAATATGTGAATAGAATATTGTAACCTTGGTGGTTACACACACCCTAGGACTGATAGGAGATATTTGCCAGGAGTTATCATGAGAAAGCCATGAGCTTGGGTCAGAATGCTCGGCCAGCACATGAAATAACTGGCTGTGTGGTATTAACCTGAAACCTACAGCTGAGCTTTGTCAGTGTGTGGAAGGGAACAGGGTAGAGATGAGACTCTAAACAAGACCCATTGGCAAGGTGCTTCTGAATGTGCCAGCTGGCTGGGATTTTAAAAATCAAGATCTGTGTGTTTAGAATTCAGAATTGGGGTTATCGTATATGTTTCAAAATGTATGTGTATGTATAGATAAGTATGTGTCATGTGCTAAATAATGTTTTAGCTGATAATGCATAGACAGTGGTCTTATAAGATCATGCAGCCTAGAGGCATTGTAGCCATCTCAGTTTATGTAAGTACACTCTGGGATGCTCACACAATGGAATTTCCTGATGATAATTCCCCCTCACTAAGTGATATGTGGTGATGATGATGATGATGATGGTGATGGTGGTGGTGGTGATGATGATGATGATGTGTGTGTGTGTGTGTGTGTGTGTGTATAAAAAAGAATTTCTGAATGTTTGCCACCTACTCAGGAAATTGAAACCTAACTAGAGGATTTTTGGTAAGTTCCCAAGGTGTCATGAGCTTATTTGAGAAGCTGTAAACTGAGGATTTCCTGCCCCCTACACCATGCCGGCGCTGGAGCTGTATAGAGATTCATAGGTGCCCTCTCAGCCTCTTGGAGCTGAGAATCTTGGGGAGTGAGACCAGGAACAAGGATTTAATCAGATGAGGACCGTAGCAGATAGATGATGACTGCTTGTGACAAATGCCCTGAAAGAAGATACAGAGCACCGTGAAGGGGCTGCTGGGTGGTCTGGCCTACGATAGGTGGCTGAGGAGAAGTTTCCCTGAGGAAATGACATTTAAGTTGACATCTGAAAAATGGATCAACAGGAGTGAAGGGCATGTGCAATGTATTTGAAAGTATGTGCAATGAAGTTCGGAAGAACAACCAGTGTGTGTGTGTGTGTGTGTGTGTGTGTGTGTGTGTGTCTGTGTGTGTGTGTCTGTGTGTGTAGGGGGATTAATCTTGTTTCTCCAAATAAAACCCAGGGAGTAAACACACTTAAACATCAGCTACTTTGACAGATGTGGAGAAACACCTCAACGTGATGATACAGGCTGGGGCTGAAAGATCCAGAATGCCTGTCAGACTGTGCCAATGTGCTATGTGTTCTTAGGCAAAACATACCACTGGCCTGTGCCTCAGTTTCCCCATCTGCAAAGAGTCTCATGGTTGTGGTGAAGATTGAGTGAGTTAGTATGTAAATGGCCCAGACAATCCCTGGCATTACAGCTTTCTCTGTTTATTGCATATCAATTCTTAATTTTTAGTGTAGTTGCCTATCAACTAGAAAAAAGAAAAAAAAAAGTCTGAGCCTATAGTGTTAAAGTTGAGTTCCTATAGTGTTAAAGTTGAGCCTGGAAAATAACTTAAAAAAAAAATTCAAATTCAATGCTCTTTCTGCTAAAAGTATTGTTTTTTTTTCCTCTCCAATTCACACAGAACTCCATCAGTGTATTTGAGTATTTAAGGCTGAAAATGGGTATTTTTTTTTAATCCATCACAATATACATTTCCTAGAATTGGTTTGAAGGAGGCTGGGTGTGGCTCTGTGCGAGTAAGTCAGTCTTTTTCAAGTTGCTGGTTTCCTCATAGAATAGTGTCAAGGGGATGCAGGAAGCCTCGAAGCTGATTTCAAGGTAATGGTCACATTGTTGGTGACAAACATTTATCTGGCATGCTCCCAGCAATCTATAGATCCTGTAGAACAAGGATTGGTGGAGCACAGATACAAGCAAGACAAACGTGGTCTTGTCCTTGAGACCATACAGACTTCGATAGGCATTGGCAGCGACAGACATGCAAATTAGCCATACTCCTCTGACTGCTGCTGTCTTCGGGGGATCCTGTGAGAGCTGAGAACTGTTCGCTGAGCAGAGAAACCAACTCAGTAGCTCCCTGAGAAGGTGACAGGGGTCTTGGATGTCTGAATGTGATGAGCTAAAGATAAGTCGTGCTATAAGAGAAGCCTGTTACGGCCACCAACTGTGTATGTGTTGGGGGAGGTGGTCGGCATAGAGTAGATCTGTACTTTCTGTTCGACTCCTGAGATAGCTGGAACTGTGTAATTATTGTCTACATAGTTACAGTGGTCGTCAAAGCTTCCAGTTCATTTTGATTGATAGTTTACTGTTCCTATAAAGGCAGGAACTCAGAGCCTGACGTCTCTAAAGTCACAGGATGCTCTCTGTCTGGCTCTTCGGTTCTAGAAAATGGGATCCTGTCTAGCAATGTTTCCTCTTTTTGAAAACACTGTTATCTATATGATCATATCTGATTCTTGCTTTGTCATCCTGTGTTGTAGGTATAGCTAAGGTGTAGTGAGTCGAGGAAGACCCAGGGAAGGAATCTCCTTGAGCAGTTTCCATTTTCCAAGTGGATTTTGTTGATTGGAATACAGGTAAGGCATCTTTTTGGGCAACCATCTAAACATATGCATTTCTAATTTTATCTGTAGAATTCTGTGTATGTGTGTATGTTTGTGGGTGGGTATACGCACATGAGTGCAGGTACCCTTGGAGGTCAAAGGCACCAGATGTCCCTGGAGCTAGAGTCACAGGCAGCCATGAGCCACAAAAAGTGGGACTGAGAAGCAAACTCGTCCTCTGCAGGAACAGTGCATGCTCCTCAGCTGCTGTGCCATCTCTCCAGTTCCAGGCAACTGCATTTTAGAAAGGAAATGGCCAGTGCCAGATATCCTAGCAGAGCCAGCCCGAGCCCTTGCTATTAATGCAATAAGGGACAGTTCTTAGCAGTTCTGAGGTAGAATGGTTCTAGTGGCCGAGCCATTAGGTGCTGGGGGTCGCCGCTGAGATGGTTATAGTAATAGGTCTGTTCCCCAAGATGGACTGAGTCGTAAGTTCTTAGTGTTAGGGTTCTTCACTTTTGCTAAGAACATTTGGGGGGATTTGGTATAGAATAGTGAGTCATTTTCCAAGAGCTGGAGGATGTCGTGAAATTAATAGCACAGACATTGAACAAAGACATTAGAAATGGTTTTACATGTTCAGCTCAATTCTTAATTCTAACCACATTGTCCTGCCTTTAAAGGTTGGAAAAAAAAGTATTTCCTGTGGTGTCTTTGTATGTTAAATTTGATAACTAATACCTTTAGTATTAACATTTATTATGTTAACCTTTATTATGTTAAATGTTAACCTTTAGGCTTAACATTTCCCCTTTGTGAACTGAGGCTATGACTCTGTTAGCGGAGCGATTGCTAGGCATGTGTAATGTCCAAATCATTGATCAGTCAGTTTCCGTTCTTTGTATATTTCTTCTTCCAAATGGACTGAACGCCCTTTGCCTGCATCAAGGCGGCCATTCCCATTGAGCTGGAGGGCAGGTAAAAAGTTGAGGCTGCGGATCCCTGTAGTGTTTGGTTTATGTGAAACGTCCAGGCTGTAGAATATCTAGGGTGGTTGTCTCAAGGGCTCCGCAAGGACTCTTTGGCCCTTTTTGTTTGGAAAAGTGACTTTCATTTGACCTTCCCTTCTGGCCAGCATGAAGCAGACCCCAAGGGTCTCTCCAAACATCACTTGGTTTTGTTTTGCCTTATCCCGCCTCAGCATCCTGATGCTGTTCTTGTTCATACAAACTCCTGCGCTTCCTTCTTCCCGCTGTTCCTCACATGTCAAGTGTGGCTGCGCCAGAGCTTTGCCTTCCATATTTAGTGCTGTGCCGGTGCCTCAGACAGAACATGGCCCACAGTGGTGCTGGTCCACACTGGCGCTGGCCCACAATGGCACTCACTGTTGATTTGTTCCGTTAACAATGTTCTCTGTTCATAATTTTCTGGTTTTCCTTTTATCTTAAGATTGAAAACTTGAAAGCAGTATGCTTTGCCTCCTGAAACTGATTGTGATTCCAGCGATTCTGGGTAAGTGGAAATGAGAGACTGGGGTCAGTATCTGAAGGCTTGTACCCACAATTATTTGGACATTATTTATTTATTTTGTGTTGTCGGGGAAGGGCATGGGTATGTCAGAGACAAATTGCAGAAGCTGGCCCTTTCTTTCCTCCATGTGGTTTCCTAGACTTGAACTCAGGTCTTCGGGCTTGGTGGCAAGTGCCTTTACCCACTGAGCCATTTTGCCAGCCCTAGTCTCGTATGTTTTTAAAAGCCAATTTTTATGTATGTTTCATTCCCTTTGATTTGTGAGATATGGAAACTTCTGGAACTTCTCAGATCTGGTGAAATGTTTGTTTCAGGAGCAGGTGGTTGGTTCTTCTTGCCTTCTTCTGTTTCTACTGGGCACAGAATGTCTTGGGGTCCTTCCTGGGTGTTCTAGAACATACTTGTGTGAAGGGAGGTGTCTCTTGCATCCCTACGGTTGACACTGGGGTCGGTCAGTTACAGCTAGTCTCAGACAGGAAGGGAAATGACCAAAGAGAAACGGAGAAACCCTTTTATGTGTCGCTGTGCCTCAGTCAGGCAGATACTTTTGTGGTTTCTGAACACAGGGAACTCTTCTTTCCTAATTGAAGTTTTTTCTCTGCCTGGAACTCTGGGTTCCTCCCACTTTTACCCCTCCCCCAGCACCTCACCCCAACAAGCTTGCTCAAGCCTTCCGGATTCTACAAGCTTCCCCCAAGCTTCCCCCGGGTTTTACTTCCTTCTGGGAAGCCTGCTTTGGCCTCAGTAGACTGGGTGGGAATCTCCTGTTCAGACCTTGCCCGGGTGCCCAGGGCAGCTTCCTGCTGCTCCTCTTCACTTCCTTCCTTTCTCTTTCTCCTTTCTGCCTCTATCCTGTTCCTTATTCCGTGGAAACAGACCTGTGGAAAGAAGAAATTAATTTAATGCGTTGCTCTCTTATTTACTAATTTAATTTGTAGTCAGGGTCTTTCTATGTGAATGAAAATGAGGTTATGACTGCTCCTCGGTCTGGTTGAAGAGAAATTTTTATTGTAGATACGAGGGAGAGTGCAGCCAGAGGCGTCTAGAAGAGTCCAGACTGAACGTGGCTGGCAGAATAGACCATGAGAGGAGAGAGAGCGAGAGGCGAGAGGGGGCCAGGAGCCAAGAGCAGAGGACCAAGAGACGAACCAAGAGTGAGACGAACCAAGAGGCCAAGGGGGCAAAGAGGACAAAGACCACGTGTGGCCAAAAATGCCTGGGTTCTGTAGTGTGTGGCCAAAATGCCCGGGTTCCATAGCGTGTGGCTAAAATGCCCGGGTTCCATAGCGTGTGGCTAAAATGCCCGGGTTCCATAGCGTGTGGCTAAAATGCCCGGGTTCCATAGCGTGTGGCTAAAATGCCCGGGTTCCATAGCGTGTGGCTAAAATGCCCGGGTTCCATAGCGTGTGGCTAAAATGCCCGGGTTCCATAGCGTGTGGCTAAAATGCCCGGGTTCCATAGCGTGTGGCTAAAATGCCCGGGTTCCATAGCGTGTGGCTAAAATGCCCGGGTTCCATAGCGTGTGGCCAAAATGCCTGGGTTCTGTAGTGTGTGGCCAAAATGCCTGGGTTCTATAGGAATCAGAAGCTGAGGGAAGGGAGCTCAGGGGCTGGAGAGGTTTGGGGCAGGGAGGGGTATGTGTGAGAAGTGCTAAAAGGAGCCGGGACTCTGTGACAGGTACTTGCAATGCTGAGAGGACCTGGAGGTCAGTGTGCGCTTTGCTATGTTAAATAGGCACCACAGCTGGCCATTTGTCCAGGGTTTCTTTGGGACTTGACACTATGTAGACCACGGTGGCCTTGAACTGGCCTTGAACGCTGTATCTTCTTTTCTCTGCCTCCTGAGTGTTAGGATCACAGACATGCATCATCATGCCCAACTCTTTATTATTATTCATTAGTGTACTTACTCAAGTGGGGGTACGACTATGGAGGTCAGAGGACAACTTGCAGGAGTTGGTTCTTGCACCATGTGGGTCTGGAGATTGAACTGAGGTCATTGGGCTTGGTGGCATCTCACTGGCTCTCTTTATTTTTTTGAGCTGAGGACAGTGAACCATTACTCAACAAAATAAACAAAAGTGCTGCTTTTGCTCAGTTCTAGGTGACATAGAATACACACGCATGCATGCATGCCTGCATGCATGCACGCACGCACGCACGCACGCACGCATATGCATACTCAATTGTTTCTCACAGGAAAATTCCAATAGTCGCTGGAGCTAGTATAGTTTCTTTCATAATACCTCCGTCCAAAGGGTTGAGAGTTCCTATGTTCTTTTCCATGCTCCCTACTGTGTCAGCCTGCTGTTGGCCAGGAAGTTCTCTCTTCTCTCAGGAGACAGCTTGGATGAAAAGGCTGGCACCTTTCCTGCTCATTCCCATATGTGTTCACTTGGCTCTTCTTCGATACGAACTGGGCAGCATCTAAATTTGTCTCTTGATTTTGTTGTCTTTGTGCCAGAGGATATCTTGTGGAAACAGAAATGTCCTTGCCATAGTTTTCTCTTTTAGTGAAATCCTGTGAGCGATAGGCCAACGAGGGAGTGAGGGGAATCTATGCCTGCAAAGGCCTCCTAAAAGCCAGAGTTGATGGGGACTGGGGAGGGATGAGTCTGGGAGAGGGCAAACACAAAGGGAATTGACAGAGAAAGCTGTGCTCTGCTCTGGCCTACTTAACTGTAGAGAGACTCAGCCAGCAAATGCAGCGATAAGCTTTTCGTGAAGGGATTAAATAAAGGGAAAAGAGGAAGAAAACAACTGATCATTAAGATCATTCAGATAGGGAACCCACGAGCTCACGAGCAGCGAGAATGAGCCCACTTCCTGTTTAGTTCACCATTAAGAACACTGTATGCAGAGCTAAGAGAAGTGAGTGAGTGGATGTGGATTTCAGGATTTCCTTTCATTAGAAAGGCAAGGCGGAGGAATTCTAGAAAAGAGGAAGGGACCAGCAAGGCCAAGGGAACCAGCTAGCTAACTCTTCTTGCGGTTTGAAGGTTGCAGAATCCTTCAGACTTGAATCATGTAGATAAGCAGAGGATTGCTCTCCTTTGCCATGCTGGTTTGAGTGAGGGGCCTCTAAGTGCTTAGACCATGCTGGATCATGGATGGAGGGGAAATGTATGGTATCTAGAGACTGATGCTGAGTTTTCTTGTTGAAGTTACTTGTCTAAGTAACGTCTTCTAACCCCTGTAGGTGATTCTTGGGGCCTGGCTGACATGACTGTCTCCGATGAGCTGAGAGTGCATGTGGGTGATTCAGCTTTCATGGGATGTGTTGTCCAGAGCACAGAAGAGAAACATGTGGTCAAAGTAGACTGGATACTCTCAAACGGGAAATATGCTGAGGTAAGGAGGTGGCCTGACTGTGTAGTCAAGCCTCTGGCTAATGGTGTCAGGATGGCCTGGCTGTGGGAGAATCAGTCATTGAGTCTTCAAGGTAGTATTGCAAGAGCTTTGGAATGAGTCATCACTGGGTCTTCTCTTAGCTTAGCTATTTGGCTGTGTATCATCAGCAGGGCAGATTATCCAACCTTGCTTCATTGTGGAGAGGAAACATGACCGTAATGGTACCGGTGCTTAACTGGCTGAGGGCTGATGGGAGACATGGAGTTCTCTCAGTTTGCTTCTACTGTCTTCTGCCCTACAGGGTAGTAAAGATGGACGCGAGAGGCATTTCCTGTAGTCTAGACAGATGAGCTAGGCAAAAGAATGGTGGTACAGGTATCTTTCTGCATTGGGACAATTCTTTGAGCATTCTACTCTGGGGGACCGTATGTGGCTTCTTTGCATTTGCTTGAAGTGTTGGGATTAGCAGCCAGGCAGGGGACTTGCTCTCATGAGCTCTGACTGGGAAACTGTCTTCAGCTTCTATCACAAAGTCCACGGAGATGTGTGGGTGTCCGGATCATCTGTGAAACATGGCCCAAGTAGTTTGCTGCTAGCAAAGAAATACTTACGTTTGCAAATCAATGGCTGCTTTTGTAGCTCAGAGCGCATTCTCTGCTATCCCTGCAATGCTACTTTCACTCAAAATTGCACTTCTATTTGCTGTTCTAAAAGCAGCAGAGCCATGGCGCAAGTGGAATTAAGAATTCCCGGGGGCTCCCCCTCCCAGCCTGCCACCATTCCTACTGAGGACTCCTTGTGATATTGCTGGCTGGAGGAGGGCAGGGTTGAGAGGAGTGGCAGCCTGCCTGCCCTGTTGGGAACACCAGCCCACAATACCAAGAGATTAGGTCATACATTTGAATGGCATCTCACCGACCCTGTCATAAGACAGGAAGTGGTTTTAAAAAATTATGAGTTCAGCCGGGCGGTGGTGGCGCATGCCTTTAATCCCAGCACTCGGGAGGCAGAGCCAGGCGGATCTCTGTGAGTTCGAGGCCAGCCTGGGCTACCAAGTGAGTTCCAGGAGAGGCGCAAAGCTACACAGAGAAACCCTGTCTCGAAAAACCAAAAAAAAAAAAAAAAAAAAAAATTATGAGTTCTAATCCCCAGAGTGTGATGGGAGGTGTTGCATTTTTCCTTATGTTGTAAGAAATGAAAATATGGATACTATGTTTCATTTGTCTGTATAGGAAATTGGTCATGGAGTCTTGTACAAGCTAGGCAGTTGCTTGGTACATTATCATTATTAATACTATTAGCTGAGTACTTTTTGGTCATTATTATGATGATAACTTCACTGTTTCCACATAATGGTCTTTTCAGTCCAGACTCCCAGGTCTGGCTCCTCTCTTGATTTTCTCCAATGTTTATTATTCTCAGAATGAATACGTGCTATACTATTACTCCAACCTTAGCGTGCCTACGGGACGCTTCCAGAACCGTTCACATTTGGTGGGGGACATCTTACGAAATGACGGTTCTCTCCTGCTCCAAAATGTGCAAGAGGCTGACCAGGGGACCTACACTTGTGAAATCCGCCGCAAAAGTGAGAGCGTGGTGTTTAAAAAGTCCGTGGGACTGCGGGTGCTGCCAGAGGAGCCTAAAGGTAAGGGGTCACTTACTCAAAGAGGGGTAAGAAGGCAGCAGATTGCTGGTGGAAGAGGGAGGGGGACTGATCAGTGCCAGCCTTTAGGCTAAGTACTTCCCTTCATTAAGCAGTAACTATCAGTTTGAGCACACTCCCTCTTCACAGAACCCCTGGGAAGCCTGTATTGTCCTTTCCATCTTGGAGGAGGTTACCGAGACTTGATGAGGCTGAGCCATGGGTCTAAGGACACCTGTTGATAAACCACAGAACCGATACTTGAGCTCTGGAATCTTTCCTTTCTCTGTGTTCTCCTTGCTGTGTCTGCCATTTCCTAGCAGTTAGGCACATGGATGTCTCACCTCGTCCATGTTGGGCTGGTGGAGGTGAGCCGCTTTCTCTTACTTCTTTGCATCTCACTTTCCTGTCTGTAATGCAGGGAATGACATCAGCAGGTTGGTAGCTTTAGTTTTACAGTACTGTGGATTGAACCTCGGGGTCTTAGTTACGTGAGACAAACACACTCTCACTGAGCTGTATCCCCAGCCCTGCTGAGTGGTTTTAAGATTGTCCTTTGGTGGAAACCCGAACTTGCAGGAATCTCAGGCAGAATGTGAGGACAGGGCAGGGGCTGGCAGAAGACCACCCTCACAGAGGGACAACCCCCACCTGCCTCCCACCCCCACTTTCTACCAACAACAACCAAAGTCATCTTCCTTGTTGCTGATCTGTTCATCGTAATGTCAGGCCAGGCTTTGTTTAAAGTAGGATTCTGCGGCTTTCAAACAGTTTGCAAGTGACAGTTTGAACCAAGGTACCTGGAGTTGTGGCAGGCCAGACATTAGAAAGTTCTTTCTTCTCTCTGACCAAGCTGAAAGGATAGCAGCCAAGACTGTAACCCAAACAGGCATTACACTCCAGAGAACTCTCAAGAACAAGTCTCACATACAGCGGTGGTGGGTGATTGGTCTCGAAGGCAAAGGGTTGGAGGGTCAGGCAGCTGCTGGAAAGAAAGTCCCCTGGAGATGGAGGGCACCAAAGGAATTGTAAATGGCAAAGACCATTCCTTACTTAGAGACAGTGACATTCATAGACTGTAGCTAGACTGAACTTAAGATGGCGGCACAGGAAGCTGCCCACTCCAAGGACGCTCTGAAATCTTTTGTTGTGTGAACAATTTCCACATCTCTCTTTTCTAATAAATTAATGATATCCAAACTAATCACATCCAGAGCATCTAAAATTTGCTCACCATATCCATATAAACATTCCCAAACAAAATATTAAATGAAAACTATTAGAAAACCACAAAACTATCTCATGCTTAGCCAAGTGTGGTGGCACATGCCTGCAATCCCAGCACTTGAAAGGCTGAAGTTCATTCTCAGCTTCACAGAAAGTTTGAGACTAGCCTGCCTCAAAAAACAAGAAGAAAACAGTATACACACATTCTTTAAGAGTGTGGGATCTTTGTGAGTTCGAGGCCAGCCTGGACTACCAAGTGAGTTCCAGGAAAGGCGCAAAGCTACACAGAGAAACCCTGTCTCGAAAAACCAAAAAAAAAAAAAAAAAAAAAAAAGAGTGTGGGATGGTGGAAATTAACACAAAGAGCCACAGCTGCACAATGTCCAGAGAGTGGGAGACTTTGGAGCACTCAGTCCTAAATGGGATGTCATCATCTAAGCCCTCCTCTCAAGGCTCAGGGAGCCCTGTGGAAGAGGAGGCAGAAAAAGTCTAAGAGCCAGAAGGGAGGCTAACACCAAGGGAACAGCATCTTCCAGACACAGCAGGACTGATGCCCATATGAACTCACAGAGACTGTGGAAATCTCATGAGGCTGGCACAAGCTCAAGCCAGTCAGGGTCCCAGAGCTCAGAGGGGAAGGTGGACATGGGCTCTCACCCCTAGCCAAGAAGATATTCCAGTTGTTACCAAGGAAAGATTAGTTTTCTCCAGTGGAGTCTTACTGGGTATATCCAGCCACATCTCAGGGCAGGCCACATGCCCTACTTGATCAACAGAAAGCAAATCCAGTGGTATTTTTTATAGACTTTTTGTCTCATTTTTCTTTGTTTGAGCATTTTTTTTGTCTTATCAATTTTCTGCTTGTTTGTTTTGATTTTCATTTTTGTGGTTTTGTGGGGTTTGTTTGTGTGTATGTGGTGTTTATTATTTTTATTGTTGACTGTTTTTTGTTGGTCTATTTGTTTTGTTTTAAGAGAGAAAAAAAGAACAAAGTCGGGTGTGTAGAGAGGTGGGGAAGATCTGAGAGAAATTGGGGGAGAGGGGAAACATGATCAAAATGTATTACATGAAAAAACTTTTTCAATGAAAAAACAAGAGTGTGGGATAGGGACTGGAGAGATGGTTCAGTGGTTGAGAGCACATACTGTTCTTGCAGAGGACTGGGGTTTGGTTCCTAGCTTACAATGGCTTGTAACCCTAGCTCCAGGGAGATCCAACTCCTCTGGCTTCTTTGGGCACCTGCACTCAGATGCACATACCACCCCCACTTATACATACTCATCATTAAAAAAGTAATAAAAATGAATCCTTAGTGAGCATGGCATAAAGGGGTAGTAGATGGCCTCAGGGCTGCTTGCCTGCTAGTAGATGGCCGTCATCTCTACTCTCCCCTTCTAGCTTTCGTCCTTAGCTACTGAGCAAACTCCCCCAGCACCTGGCCTTTCTCTCTCAGGATGCTAGTCATACCCATGCACTGTGTCTTCCCTGCTTGTCTGGGTTCGGTCTTTGACTCTGACAAGCCTTTGGCATAGATCTTGGTAGAGTGTAGGCAATCAATACACATTAGTGTAATGGATGAAATTCTTGAACTAGTGTCCCTCGTGAATTCAGTTTGTGAGTATGGAGTAATAAGGAGTGGCCTCTGGCACCTCTCCTCGTTTTCCCTGTATCTTTTTTCCTTAATTCTAAAGCTGTGGTCCTCCAGGAAAAGGAAGGAAGTCTGATGTTTGATTCTCCCAAGATTCTCCTTGTGAGTCCCTTTTCTACCCCCAGTCTCCGCTGGCGTACCTAAACCCTTCTCAAAGTGCAGCCCACAAGATGATTGCCCCTTCCCATCTCGTGGATACCAAGAAGGAACCAGCAGGAGCCAATGTCAAGGGCTGAAGGAGCCAGGGAAATGGGCTAGAATCACATTGGGGTGGTCAGAGTCAACTCATATTCACTTCCCTGTCTAGCCAAAGCAGGAACAGGTCTGAGCCCCCACAGTTTGCCTCCTTGCTGAGTGGACCGTGGTCGACTTGTTTACAGAGGTTGTCTCTGTTCATGTGGAAACTCCATGTTGATAGTCATCTGTGACTTTTCGTTGCAAAGTATACCCTCCAGTTTATAATCCTCCTACAATTCCACCGCGTCAATGCCCTTTTCCATAGTTCTTAAATATTTTAGGTGAAAATAACACGTTTCCCATCCTTTTGCTCTGGAACCAGGCCTCTTTCTTATCACGTGATGTCATAGGGTACAGTACACTAGAAAGCTCGGGGTTTGTTTTCACTTGGACTTGGGTGTGAGTTCTGATTTTTCTCTTAATTGCTTGTGTACTTTGAGTGCCTTTTTCTATTCTTCCATGTAAAATGGAGAGCAATACAATAAAAACCTAGAAACATTATGATGACTTCAGCTAGGGATATAGTTTTATGGTCGAGTGTGTCCTTAACATATGTGAGGCACTGGATGGATTCAGATTTAGGGACTAAACATGCATGTTATAATGACTAATTGCTAGGCTGCCTATAAGGTGATTGGCACATGCTCAGTGCATTCAAAGGACTCAGAATGTTCAGTTGTTATTGACTTAAAAGCTAGTGTTCAGTTCTTAACAGGCTGATGTAATTGAGAGGGAGTTTCCTTCCCTACTGATGCCCTTTGGAGCTGGTTTTCACTGCCTGCAGAAGAATTCTCTCCACTGAGTTTAAGTTCATATTATTTTCTTTTGCTTTCTTCCTACTGTGTAGCTAGCTCTCTTACTGGGCAGGAAGTTCAAGTTCTCCAGGGAGGCAACATGGATGAAAGGTCTGTGTATGCACTGCATGTGTTCATTTGGGACCTTTGCTTGACATTCTTTTGAAAGAACTCTGTCTACTCAAGACTTAGGCTCAGGCTCCCTGTGCACCATTCCGCCTTTGCTTCCTTAATGGACTTCGTGGTTGCTTTGTGGAGGGCGGAGTGGAAAAATTAACAATGTTATTCTACTTGCCTTCTTTTCACGGACCTCTTAGAATGACTTATTCAGAGAGAATATGGGGGGGGGGGTCAGCTGCTTGCACAAGCCAGCAGGAGGAAGCACCTACCCTACGAGGTGGAAGGCCTGGAGAGCTGGAAGGGGGGGTGGCGTGTCAGTTGGGGAGGTAGGGTTCTGGAGAGGGCAGGACTGAAACAGACAGGGGAAACAGTCAAGGGGAAAGCTACTTCCTTGGCCGAGTTTGCAAGCAGTCCCATGACCTGTGTGGAAGCCAGAACTATGTCCCAAGCAAATCCTAAAATAACTTGTAAAATGAGTAAAAGAATTTGAAGAAAGTCTTCCCCACTCAGTTAGAAGAACCAGCAAGTTATATATGAGAACAAGTTTTCTGACTGTCCACTGTCTGTGCTGTGTTGATGAGGGTCTCTGTATCCAGGAACAGAAAGCGAGGGCTTTAAGACTCTCAGTCCTTCATCTGGACTTCAAATATGAGAGAATTTCTGGAAAGGGGGAAAGATAAAGGAGTTAAAGGCAAACAGAAAGTGGTTACTGCAGTGTAGAAACAACAGGAACCCCAGACTTGGCGTCTGTGGAGAGTGAGCATGTTCTCTTAGGCTGGGATGCTGTGTTGCTTTGAGAGAAGGGGCTCTTGAATATTTCGTCCACATGTTTTGTTGTGACAGTGACATTTTACTGTTGAAGATCTTTAGCTAGACCTCTCTTTCTTTTCCTTCCTTCCTTCCTTCCTTCCTTCCTTCCTTCCTTTCTTTCTTTCTTTCTTTCCTTCTTTCTTTCTTCCTTTCTGTGCTCTTCATATACTCAAGGGTGCAGTTATATTTACCCTCCTCCATCTTTCTCTACTGTTTTGTTTTGAGACAGGGTCTCTCACTAAACCGGAAACTCCACCATTTTGCCTCAGATGACTGGCCAGAGAGCTCTCAGGTCCACCTGTCTCTGCTCCTGAATGTTGCGGTTCCAAAGCGATGTGCCTGGCTTTTTATGTGGGTGCTAGGGATTTGAACTCAGGTTCTTTGGATTGCAGAATAAGCATTCTTACCCACTGAGTCATCTCCCCAGCCCCCAGACTTTATTGTCTAGAAACTCTATTTGATTATATTAAGTCTGACTCAATTTATCATTTTATCCCCAGAGCTCACAGTCCATGTAGGCGATTCAACTCCGATGGGATGTTTTTTCCAGAGCACAAAAGAGAAACATGTGACCAAGGTGGACTGGATGTTTTCTTCTGGAAAGCATGCCAAGGTAAGGGGGAAGAGCCCTCACTGTAGAGACCCCTGGCTGGAGGCAGGGGAGGGCAGGGCGAGGTGAAGCAGGTATCAGGTACCATGTGGTGGGTGACATTGTAAAAGCCCAGGCCCGGGAGTCTGTCAGTCAGACCTGGCCTCCTGCTTGCCTGGGAGTCTGTCAGACCTGGGATCCTGCTTGCTTGAGAGTCTCCTGCTTGCCTGGGAGTCTGTCAGACCTGGGCTCCTGCTTTAGCCCCTTGTCTGGACAACTTCGGCTTTTTGGTGGGAAATATGATTGTATTGAGGAGAAGGGGAAGGAGTGAGGGAGGAGAAGATGGAAGAGGGGGGAGGGAGGGGGAGGAGAAAGAGGAGGAGGAGGAAGTGTGGGAGGGAAAGGGGAAGGAGGAGGGGGAAGAAGAGCTGATTGCCTAAATGTCAAGGTTTCTAAGAGACTGATGTGCAATGGGACACGGAAGCACTTTGTACATGATGTGGCCACTGCGTTTGGGACTCCCTTTACCTCCTCTTCATTGTACAATCCTTGTCAGAGCAAAGAGGGGTGGCTTTTGTGGCCTAACCCGGAAAGCAGTGGGCCAGGCCTAAGAACACAATTACATTCTTGTCCTAATGTGTGCTATTTCTGTGAGCTTTGCCTGGCACTCTGTTACTCACTTTGTGTGATGGAGGATTTTTTTTTTCATAAACTTTCCAGGGCTTGGGATTGGTAGACCCCTTAGAGCCAGAGTAAAGGATAATTCATAGGAACTGTAACCTGTAAAGCAGTAGGTAGCAAGCTAGTTTACTGGACTAACAGATCTCAACAATGACATGGTATTTAGGGGTCAAAATGTGTCCTGAGGACTAGTGAGATGGCCCTTACTTACTACCAAGCTTGATGACCTGAGTTCAGCCCCTGGGTCCCATATGATAGAAGGGGAGAACAGAGTTCTACAGGTTGTCCTCTGGCTTTTTACATTCACACCATGCAACTGCCCCTCCATAAAGAAATGTAATAAAAACGTGTTGTGAGCGACATCTTAGTTGACTTATTGATAGAAGTTAAAGTGAGAAGTTTTATAAATGAAAATGTGTTCCAGATCATCTCGCTAACAAAGTCATTCACACTTACCTGATTCTTGGATGCTATCTGAGGGCATCAGAAGGGGTGGCATCGTGGTGGAGGGTGGGGGATGGTATGTGGCCCCAAGTTCACTCCTAAGAGCTTGTCATGCATTTAGGTTTTTATTTATCTATTTGTTCTTGTTTTCTGTGTGTGAGTGTTTTACTTTCACATATACATATGCACCACATACATGTCTGATGTCCATGGAGCGGGGGAGAGGGTATCTAATTCTCTGGAACTGGAGTACAGATGGTTGTGAGCCATTGTGTGGGTGGTGGGAACTGAACCTGGGCCCTCTGTAAGAACAAGTACTTCTAACTACTGAGCTGACTGAACCAGCAGATAGTTCTTTATTGGCAGGCTCCTAAGTGGGAGGTGGCCTTCAGATGAAGGTAAAGAGAAGGATAGGAAAGTCTGGCGTTAGGATGTCTTGCACAAGCTCATGACTCACACAAGCAAGTTTAAGAAGTACAGCATGTTATACAGCATTTCTAGGGGAGAGATGGGACAGTCATCAGAAATTATCGTGTAATGGGGCGAAGTCGGCAGGAAGCTGATCAGGCCATGTTGCACCAGGGGACACAGGGTGTCTCAAGGACATTATAGACTGAGCACCATCAGCCCTGGGGTTGGTAACTATAGCCCCTTAGAGTGGGCTCTGCCAAGCAAGCTCCTAGTTTTAGAGGAGCTGTGTTCCTCCCCCACACATCAAGGCTTCAGGGAAAGCCTGGGATCAGTCCAGCCCTCAACACTGAATCCGTCTCTCCAGTCCCCATTGTCATGCATTTCTATGTCATGCATCAAATGATTCACGACAGAAAGAGGAGTTGGGGCCAAGTCTCTACATTTGTGTTTCTGTCTATAACTCATTTCCTTTGCTCAAAGGCTTTCCTTTTTTTTTTTTTTTTGAGACAGGGTTTCTCTATGTAGTTTTGGTGCCTGTCCTGGATCTCACTCTGTAGACCAGACTGGCCTCGAACTCACAGAGATCTGCCTGGCTCTGCCCAGTGGCTTTTCTTTCTTTTTTGAAAAAAAAAAATCTATGGCTAGAGATGTAGCTCATTAGTAGAAAGAACCCTTGCCTTGTATGCATAAGGCCATAGTTTCAATCCTTACCACTACCTCTACCATGACCACCATCACTAAATAACCACATACCTTTGTAAAACATTTCAATATCCATTCATTTGAAGACTTTGTCCTGGCCTGGCTGTGGTGACACACGCCTTTAATCCCAGCACTCGGGAGGCAGAGGCAGGCGGATCTCTGTGAGTTTGAGGCCAGCCTGGTCTACAGAGTAAGTTCCAGGATGGCTAGGGCTTCACAGAGAAACCCTGTCTCAAAAACAACCAAAACCAAAACAAAGCCCCTGTCTTGATGGGACAGTAGCAGTAAAGGTGGAGGAGGGAGTCACAGTGAGACAATGACAAGATGAATATCTAAAACAACAAGAAATAAAGAGCCAGGAAGAACAACGAAGCCGAGCTCTGTGGTCGTCCTTCTGTGTAGATAGTTGGGGAAGCCTCATCAAGGTGGTGTTTAGGGATTGGTGTGAAGAGAGTGAGCGGAGAGAAGCAGAGGGTTCCAGTTATGGGAGTAGTAAGAACAGTAGCCCTGAGGCCAGCCTTCAGGCAGTAGCTGGGTGTCTGTGTAACTACATCTAGGGAAGGAATTGAAAATGGGTGTGAGAGAGGGAAGCGACCGGGCAGATCATAAAGGGCCTGCAGGAGAAACGAGGGGCCGGCTGAGGTTGGGGCGGAGGACGACACGCTGGATCTTAGGTTTCTCAAAGCTCATCCGCTGAGGGTAGACTGTGGGAAAGGGCAGGCAGGGACACAGGTGAGAAAGCCCCTGCAGGAGAGATGCCCCTGGTAGAGATGCGGCATGGCTTGGGTCTGGCATGGCAGCGGAAGGGTGGCTGAGACGGCAGGGCTGGGATGTATTTTGAAGGCAGAGGGCACAGATTTTCTGGTGAGTTGGATACAAGTTGCTTAAGAAAGAGGGATTAGGAGGGAGGGCAAACTGTGGTCGGTATGTAAAATAAATGAAAAGATGTTAATTCAATAAAATAAACTTTAAAAAAAGAAAGAGGGCCGGGCGGTGGTGGCGCACGCCTTTAATCCCAGCACTCGGGAGGCAGAGCCAGGCGGATCTCTGTGAGTTCGAGGCCAGCCTGGTCTCCAAAGCGAGTTCCAGGAAAGGCGCAAAGCTACACAGAGAAACCCTGTCTCGAAAAAACCAAAAAAAAAAAAAAAAAGGAAGAAAGAGGAATTAAAGATGGCTCTAAGATCTTTAGCTTGAACATCTGGAAGAAGACATTGCCATTTACTGAAATGGGATGGACCGGAAGGAAGTGGTTTGGGGGCAACAGTCAATTTTAGACAAGGTATATCTGCCTGTTGGAAATCCAACTGGAAGTGCAGGGACAACAAAGTGTGCTTTTGTCTTCCCTTCCCTCTGTCCCTCTGTCCTTCCCTCCCTCCCTCTCTCTCTTCCTCCCTCCCTCCCTCCTTCCTTCCCTCCCTTCCTCCTTCCTTCCCTGTCTCCCTCCCTCCCCTCCCTCCCTCCCTCCTTCCTTCCCTCCCTCCGTCCTTCCTTCCCTATCTCCCTCCCTCCCCCTCCCTCCCTCCCTTCCTCCCTCCCTCCCTCCCTCCCTCCCTCCCTCCCTCCCTCCTTCCTTCCTTTCCTTTCCTTTTCTGGAAAAGAGTGAACTACTTTTACTTTTTATTCTCATTCTCTGTCTCTGTCTCTCTCTGCCTTTAGCTCCAGTGCTGGGCACTGAACTCAGGATTTCACATGTACTAAGCAAGCACTCTGCAGCAGAATTATAACTTTTCCATCTTGTTACTCCTTATTCGGAGACAGAGTCCGGCTAAATTACTCCCTTGAACTTGCTATCCTCTGGCCTCAGCCTCCCGAGTAGCTAGGATTACAGGCCAGAGCCACCGGCCCCCCTGAAACCCACTTCTTCCGACGGAACGGCTGTTTGTGGTCTGATGTCTTCCTCACCAGTACACAGTGTTTGTTCACGTGCATACGAACAAGACTTTGTGTTATCTAACACTCTCCCTGCCCTCACATGGCCGGGCTCTGTCAGCTCTGAGGTTTCCTCCAGTACACACCCTGCAGTCCTCCAAACCTCATGCTTTGGACCTTTCCTTTAGGAGGAGGTTGTCTGGCGCTATGACTTCGACAGCTATGACTTCAAGGAGCGTAGTGGGTACTTCCAGAACCAGGGCCGCTTCCGAAACCGGGTAAACCTGGTGGGTGACATCTCCCGAAATGACGGCTCTATCATGCTGCAGACAGTGAAGGAGTCCGACCAAGGAGTCTACACCTGCCGCATCTACCTGGGCAATCTGGAGTCCAGGAAAACCATTGAGCTGCGTGTGATCCAGGAGAGATCTCAAAGTAAACAATATTTGGGTGAAGAGGACTGAGGGGCCATGCACAATGTCTGGAGTGAGTCAGGGAGTCTCCAGGCATGCCCAGGGGAAGGAGGCATGGCTTCCAGGGGCTGGTCTTGGACTTGCACTACCCTGAAAGTGATGCCTCCATCAACCTGGCTCACCAGATGCCTGGGCTTGCCGTGCCCTAGTTCTGCTTGGTGTTAGGCATGGAAAAGGGTGCTCACAGGGTGAACACCGAGTCTCTACCAAACCCCACTCATGGCCGGTGTGGTCCACTGCTGCAAAGGCATGGGAGCTCAGAGGTGGAGTGGGGTGGAGTGGAGATCCCGAGTCATGCTTGCTTGACTTTGAAGGAGTTGCACATCCTTGTGAAGGGAAACTAATCCTAAGCCGTGAGAGACAGCAAGCAACAGAGAGAAAATAGGAGGGTTCCAGAATGAGAAACAGAGGGGTTTCCGGGCCAACAGTGTGCACCGAGGAGAAGAAAGACTCAATTGTGTTGTCTGAGGCAGGTTGTGTGAGGTGAGGGTTAAATCATAACTCAGTGAGCACTCAGGATGTGGCCTGTGGACTTCGCCTCTCACTGGGGCCTGAAGGAGCTGGCTGTGGTTGGCTAAGGGTGGTGGGGGATGACTGGAAAGGGAAGTACCTCAGAGTCTCAGGCCAGAGACACCTTCTTGTCAGTGCTAATGGTCCCAGCTGAAGAGGGAAGCATGAGAGGTGGATTTCTTCAAGAAGTTTCTTCATCCCCGTGTGTGCTCCCTTCTCACAAGCTTTCCTTCCACTCCACAGAAGAAAAAAAAAAAAACACACCAAAGTGGGGAGTGGGGGCTCACCTCCTTCTGAGGCCACTCTACCCACAGGCATGTCTACACCCACCCCAGTCTTATCTCCGCATGCCATCTTGAGGCAGCTGAACTCTCCTTCCTGCGCTGGGTGAATCTATACCTGTGCTCTGGTATCACCGCCAGCTCTCATCCCACGGTTCTGTTGTAATTCAGGCTCGTACTGCCAGGTCTACTCTAGCTTATATCCCCAGTGGCATGCGAGTCACCCACCCCCACCCAGCCTTCTTCAGCACAGTGATATCAGACGCTGTGTTTAACCTACATTCTATATTGGTCACAATTAGATTGGCACAAATGTTTATAAACAGCCATATGTGTCCCCTGATATCTGAGGAAATTTGGTTGGCTCCAGGACTTATTCCTCCATTGAAAACACCAAAATCTGTGGGTGTGTAAGCTCCTTCTATAAAAATGCTATATTAAAAAAGGTATTTATTTATTACAGACACATAGCCTCTTTTATACTCAAAATCACCTCTATATTATTGATAATACCTAATATAAGTAATTGTTGCCTCATATTGCTTAGGGAATGGCAAGAAAAAAGGTCTTCATATATTCAACACAGATAACAATTCTGCAGTTGGCTGAATCCAAGCATGAGAACACGTGGAGATGAGGGCTGGTTTTGTGTGTGTGTGTGTGTGTGTGTGTGTGTGTGTGAGAGAGAGAGAGAGAGAGAGAGAGAGCAGGGTTATTATATGCATGCATATATTTCAACTCCACACAAAATTTCTACAGATCCTTCAAATATGCACGGCTCTCCCTCATCCCATCTTCCCAACACTGGTGAATGCCACCACCATGGATACGGTTAGGTAACTGGATGCCAGGGAGTGAGTGGCCCTTGAGTCTTCTCTTCCCTAATAAGTCGTGTCATTTCTTTGGCTGATTTTGAGGCCACCTTCCTTCCAGGCCTTCACCAGGCTTACTTCTGGCTGTCTTCTCTTCTGTTTTAGACTTTGGCCTCTATCCAGCCTCTGCTCTCATTCTTAGCCAAGGCCTTCTTTCTAAATCACAAGTTAGAGCCTTCCATCCCACCACTGACAGATACACCTCAAATTGACTTCTCCGGGACTTGTAGCAAAAAAAAAAAAAAAAAAAAAAAAGAAAAAAGAAAAAAAAAGCCAACCGCTTTGCTGAGGCGATGAAGTGCCTTTCTGACTTGGACTCCATTATTTCTCCAGCCTAAGTTCCTTCCACATCCTCAGCTTCAACCTTTGACCTGCACCTGTGGAGCTGTTTCCACTTCCTCAAAACACCCCGTCAGGCCACCAGACCCTGGGCATGACATCCTCTTGGCCTTTCTCCATACTATCAACGGCCCAACAAACAGAATGCTTCTTTGAAAACTCACACTAAAATTTAGCACTTTCCGGCAGAAGTTTCTTCCCATGCTCTTCACAGAATTGCGCACCCCATTCTCTGTGCCCTTCTGTCCCCTACAGACAGACGTCTATGTTGTCATGCTTATCTCCCTCCTCGGAGGCAGTTGTCTTTGTAGGCATCTTCTGTGTCTAGAGATGTCTGGTGCCAAAGAAATGCTGATATATGTCTTTAGAGTGAATAGATGAGCTGAGGGATGGGTATTATACCAGTGGAAATATCCCTATTTAGCATTGTGACTATACATCTGAATCTTGTAGCATATATTCTTTCTGAGACAATCATTGCCCATAAAATGTCAGTGGCCTTGAAAATGCCTGTTATATCTAGTCATTCGGTAAACCAAGTTTTAACATAGAATTATTGATGTAAAACGGTGATCTAGCGTAGGTGAAGGCAGTCGCTTCTGCCAAGTTTAACCCACACTTTAGGGCTAAGCAAGGGGGTTGGCCTGGCTCTTAGTCTAACGGGAATGGTGTCCTGATATGGGATGCAGCCTGGCCTTCTCTCCCTGCTTCCTGACCTGGATGCTGCTGTTTGGCATGGGGTTATGGGGGCTCCCCACTCTTCTAGAATACTGAGATCCTCAATGCTTTCTTCATTCCCAAGTGTCAATTTCAACAACTCCTCGACCCAAGACTAATCAGCCAGCGATCCTGGATGGGAATCAGCTGGTGATAATTGTGGGGATTCTCTGTGCTACCTTCTTGCTGCTCCCTGTTTTGATACTGATTGTGAAGAAAACCCAGTGGAATAAGAGGTATGTGACCATTCCCACCCTTTCAGTCGGGAGGCCAAGTGTGTAGTCTGTTTCTAAATGAAAGTGGAAGAGTAGCCATACCACCCTAATGTGAGCCTGACCTCATCTAACCCAAAGAGGGAGAGAGTGCCAGTGCCCTGCGATGGTGCGTTGATTGTTATATTGATGTCATTATAGGTGGCTCTGCCCCCTTTGCTCACCACACTTCAGAAAGGCTTGGACATTGCTGTACCATGCTCATTCTCCTTGCTGTTATGCAAAGATTATCAGCTCCCTCACAAATGGGGGTTTAAGTGGAACACAATTCAGATATAGACCTCATGTAAAGGCTGTAATAGTACCCATGGACTGCTTAAAAGAAGTTATGAATTGGGGAGGAGACTGAGACAGAAGTCCCTATGTACCCAGGCAGGCTTTGAACTCATGGTCCCCCTGTCTCAATCTCTCATTTGCTGGCATTACAGGTGTGTACCACTGTGCCTGGCTTGAAATGTGTTAAAGGGTTGGATTTCATCAGGAGCTCTCCCAGACTCTTAGAAGTGCCCGAATGCCAGGATACAGATGCTAGTATCTCATTATCAGCAGCTCTGAGTGTCTCTGTTTACAGAATATTAGTGAAACATGTTGGCAGTTTAAGCTAATGCCTCAGTTGAAATCACAGCAGTGGGAAAGACCCATAAAGACCAAAGAGTATTGGCTTTTTTCTCTTTTACTGTGTTGGGGATTGGACCCCGGATCTTGCACATTCTAGACAAGCTTTCTATCACTAAGTCACACCACCTCTAGCCTCACAACATTGATGTCTGAGTGACTTTTCCTGGGGGATATGTAGATTCTAAAGAAAGTGGTTGTGCCTGCTCAGGTACACCGCTACTCCCAGAGCTGTCTGACCTGGCGTTGAACTTCCTTGGCATCTCTAAGGGTCATTGCTCCAGGCATGCATTTGAACATAAGACTAAGAGCCAGACAGTGTGAGTTCCGCTCCCATTTTATGTCCATACTCTGGGCCTCCGTGTCATGGAAAGTCATTCTAAAGAAATATTACTGTTCTGAGATTCCCACATAAATACAGTCACTGCAGCTTTGCTGCTTGCTAATAAAAATCTGGAGTCATTGTGAGTACAGCATCTCTCAGGAAGGCAATGATTGGATGAATGGGCATTCTATTGAATATACCATTACATATGAGCCAGCATGTGATGGCATGGGATGGTAGCCAAGAAGGTTGTGAGGGAAAATGTGCAGTATGATCTCGATTTTATAGAAAAGAAGCAATACAGTGTTCATGGCAGGAGCCTGTACACTAGGTATGTTTTGTCTGGGAGTTTACTTAGCCGTCGTTGACAGGGGTCCTGAAGGATAGTTCTGAGGCATTATCAGACATTGAAGATAACGATCCTGTCGCCTAAGCGGACCACTTGGAAACCTCAACTTCCAATTCTGTCTAATTCTGTAGTATTTGATTCATTTAACAGTGAGAATATACAACTTTACAATCATATGATAAAAACATTTCCATTTGAGACAAACATGGTTTATTTTTATGCCCATACCTTTTTTAAAAAATATCTGCCTTAGATCAAAACAGGAAAAAAAAAAGTTACATTTACTGACAAATGCATGAGGCAACTGGCCAAGAGAGCAAAGTCGAAGGGCCTGTTCAGGGGAGGGTCAGAGCGCACAGCCTGGGGGGTGTTGGGGCATTTAGCTCAGTTGTCACTGGGGAGGTCACAGACCCGGGAAATGTGGACTTGCTGGATGTGTGCTGTTCATCAACGGTTCCAGTTCTCAGTATTGAGAACAAGATAGTGAGGTCAAATGCCATGGGCTCTCTCTGTTCAGTCATTTAAAATTATATTACCTCCTCTGTTCACATCACCTCCCCTCCCCTCCCTTCTCCTCCCCTCCCCTCCCCTCTTCTCCCCTCTCTTCTCATTAAAATGAGGTCTCTTGGGCCAGTGAGATGCCCTGAGGTCAGTTCCCAGAACCCATATGAAAAGTTAGATACCATAGCTTGCATTTGTAATCCCAGCTCTCCTATGGTGGCATGAGATATGAAGACAGGAGAACCATCTGGAAGCTAGCTGGTCAGCTAGCCTGGCATATGCAGAGCGGGCAGAAACAGCAAGAGAGACTCTGTCTCAACAAGGTGGAAAGAGAGAACAGATTATGAAAAGTTGTCCTCTGACCTCTACACACATGTTGTAACTTGAGCATGCTCACATTCACACACACACACACACACACACACACACACACACACACACACACACACGACGATGATGATGATGATGATGATGGTGATGGTAAATTTAAAATGGGATCTCTACATGCTGCCAAGGCTGGTCTTGAACTCCTGGCTCCATGCTTCAGGATTAGCTGGGACTTCAAGATGCCACTGTGCCCCGCTATACTCTGCCTCCCACTGTGGGACAGAGGTTGTTAGAGGGAAAACAGAGAAGGTGAAGTCATGTTTCAGCCTAAACTATCCGCAGAGCACCTTCCCATTTCCTACCAGAGGAGCTGTTCTGTGTGTATTTAGTTCCTCCCGAGGGTCTCTCCATAAAGTAATGCAAGGGTCCTATGTGATGTGGGTGTCCCACTGGATGCAAAAGACCTATCTAGTGTAGGGTCCTTTCTGGGTATGCGTGAATCAGTGTACCTTGTGAGGTTCTGAGTGTTAATTCCATGTACTTTCCATGCCTTACAGTTCAGTGAATTCTACACCTTCCTTGAAGAGCCTGGAGAGCAAAGAGAAAGCTAATCCAGAGGTGAGAGGACAGCCTGCCAGCTGAGGGGGGACACGAGTGGCCGCACACTCCAGCAGGAAGCACTGGGAGGTGGAGGGGGGGTGCATTACTTGGGAATGGGCATCTTACTCATTAGTTTTGGCTCAGCCCACAGTCAATGCACAGCAGTGACTCAGAAAGCCTTTATCACTGCCGCAGAGGAATGGGCTGGGGCAGGGTAGCCTGGGTCGGATCAGCCCTGGGCACCAGATCCTGGGGGTAGGTACAGGAAAGAGCCCTGGACCTGGAATCGGAGAACTCTGTTACCTTCATGAGCTAAGGAGTTAATGATTAAGAGTAGGTGTATTCAGGAACCTTTAGAGGGGACCAAGGACTTCTCCCTCCATAGTGCTTTGAAGTGAAGTTATGAACAGGAGCTGAGAGATGAATTTCCCCGATCTCCTGTATTCTCACCCTTCCTTCCCCCTCCTTCTCTTCTTCTCCCTTTCCCCTTTTAACTTTTACACACTTCTCTTTGATCGGCTTCCTGAGTTTTGGGTTGCTTCTGTCCCAAGAGGAGACTTTTCATTCAACCCGGTTCAATCCTCAGAAGCCTGAGAATGTGTCATTTTCCTAAGAGTGACACGTGATGGTGAATCACAGTCCCCAGACCTCAGAGCTGTGAGGTTCAGGGAGGGCTGTCCTTGCCATATCAACCCTCTGCTAGATGATAACAGTTGATGATTAGTGCCAGCCTACAAGTTATTCTGCAGGATGAGGGTCCCCTACTGCCAAGTCAGTGCTTAGAGATGCAAAGGTGTTTGGTCTTGAAGCAGACAGGTTGGTTCTTGAGGCTGGTACCCTTTCCCGTGAGTTAACTCAGGAAGACTGAAGTCAGAATTATCATCATTGATAACAATTCTCTAGCTCTCCATAACCCCCGAACTTGATGGCTTTGGTCGCTGATTTCCTGTGAACAGTCTCTCTCCTGGATGACCCTTAAGAATCTTGTATTCCCCCCAACCCCCCAGAAACATGTCTACTCCTCAATAACTACGTGGGAGGCGATGGATGAAGGACCAAGTGGACAATCAGAGGCCACCTACATGACCATGGTGAGGACTATTCTGGGCCCTTAGCTGGGCGAGGTTTCTGGAGCACATGTTGAGGAGTATAGCCCAGGCTCTGGGAGGCAGGAGTGACGAGGCCACCTGAAGAGGTTGTTTACAGAGGACAAATTTTTTTCTTTTTTGTTTTTTTCCCCCCAAGCAGTAGGAAGCAGGGAGAATAAACTGTTTAGGATTAAAATCACTGATAGGGAGTACTAGCAGAGAAAGGGGGGGGGCGCGCTTTTCTCATTAGCCCAGCTCTGGTTAAATAGATGTAATAAAGCATCTTAGATCATCAGACAAGGCTTGCAGGAGAGTAAAAGGTGAAGGTAGAGGAGTAGGAACAGTTCGGTTTGTAGAGTACTGTCTTCCCTGCCTGAAGCCTTGGGCTTGAGTCCCAGCACCATGTAAATTGGTTGTGGTAATACATGCCTGTAATCCCAGCACTAAAGAGGTGGAGGCAGGGGTATAAGAAAGCCGGGGTTGCTGGACAGTGATGGTACACGCCTTTCATCCCAGCACTCGGGAGGCAGAGGCAGGTGGATCTCTGTGAGTTTGAGGCCAGCCTGATCTACAAAGTGAGTTCCAGGACAGCCAAGGCTACACAGAGAAACCCTGTCTCGAAAAACAAAAACAAACAAACAAACACCAAACAACAACAACAACAACAATTCAGGTCATTCTCGGCTGCATAGCCAGTTTAAGGCCAACCCGACTGACGTGAGACCCTGTCTCCAAACAAGGTGCGGGGCTTGGTAAAGTGATCGATACACAAGCATGTGGACTGAGTGTGAATCTCCAGCACCCATAAAAAGCTGTCAGCGTGCCCGTCTGTAATCCCAGTTCGGATGGCAAGATGAGAGGTGGAAACAGAGCCTGGTGTAGGCAACAACACACAAGAAAGGAATCCTGTCTCAAAGGAGGTGGAAGTCTTCTGACCTCCAGATGCACAGCACTGTGTGCATGTACCTGCAACTCCCACACACAAATGCACATGCATACACACATGCATGCCCACACATCATAAACACACAGAATCTTTGAAAAGGTAAAAGCAGGATCCCTTTTGGCCATGGACTTTGGTTATTCTGAACTTTGTTATTACCTTCTCACAATCTAACTGACATGCAGGCTACAGGCTGCATTTCAGAAGGTAGGATGGAGTCTGTGTCCTACCAAGGCAACTGAGGGAAGAAGGGCACCCAGAAAGGGCTCCTTGCTGTGCAGTGTGTAGGGGTGGGAAGGAAGGAATTGGTTGACAGTGACACCGTGTTATTTTATAGACTAACTAATGGCCCCCACCCCATGATGGAGCTGTATTCTGTTGAATTCAGCAAGGCAGAGCATGTGGAATGTTGGGTTGTTTGCTCCTGTCCTACTGCACAGAAGACACATGACTCCCAGCTGATGGCAGTGGAGAAAGGTCTGCCTAGGCAGTGTGAGATCAGAGATCTGGCCCCATTCCATCAAGTAAAACATTAGCCCTTCTGAAGTTGTGGATGAATAGAGTCATTTTCTTCTACATCCGTCTTCCATTATTGCCATGTGATACTCCAGCAACAGGCCAGGCCTCATCTTGGCTTTTAGAGACCTGCTGACATGACTACTGGCGGGAGTGTCCCCTACAAGCACTGTAGAAAGTCTTGAAGTGGAGATATGTTGGAGTAATGGTGCTCTTCACAGCTACCCACATGCTGTGCAAGGAAAACAGTGCCTCTGTCCCCCTGATGTCCTTGTCCCCTTGATGCCTCAGGTCTGCTGAAGTGTGGGTGAGGTAAAGCCTAGGCTATAAACACAGAGGCCTTCAGGGCTGGCCAGGTTACTTAGAAGCACTACGTGCTGGGCTGCAGAAACGGCTCAGCAGTTAAGAGTGCATACTATTCTTGCAGAGGACCGAAGTCTGGATCTCAACGGTCATGTTGAGCAACTCCTGAGTGTCTGTAACTCCAGTTCCAGGGGGACCTGATGCCTCTGGCCTCTGTGGGAACCTACACTCATATGTACACCTCCCCCATATTTACATGTTTTTTTTTTTGTTTTTTTTTTTTGGTTTTTCGAGACAGGGTTTCTCTGTGTAGCTTTGCGCCTCTCCTGGAACTCACTTGGTAGCCCAGGCTGGCCTCGAACTCACAGAGATCCGCCTGGCTCTGCCTCCCGAGTGCTGGGATTAAAGGCGTGCGCCACCACCGCCCGGCCATGTTTTTTTTTTTAAAGCAAATCTCTAAAAAAAGAAAGACGTGCCAGGCATGGTGGCGCATGCCTTTAATCCCAGTACTTGGGAGACAGAGGCAGGTGGATCTATGAGTTTGAGGCCAGCCTGGTCTATAGAGTGAGTTCCAGGATAGCCAGGACTTCACAGAGAAACCCTGCCTCAAAATAGATAGATGATAGATAGATAGATAGATAGATGATTGATAGGTAGATAGATAAATAATAGATAGATAGATAGATAGATAGATAGATAGATAGATAGATAGATAGATAGATAGATAAAAGAAACGCTGTGTTCCAAAATGAATAAACCTGTGGGAGGCTGGTAGGTGACTAAGTAGCTGGGAGTGTTTGCTCTGAAGTCCTGAGGACCAGAGTTCAGATCCTAGTGTGATGTAACAGGTGGGAGTCCTGCACACACTTGTATCTAGCTCCAAGGGCTAAGCCAATATCTTTTTCTGGTCCCTATGTGTATAGGCATGTGTACACACACACACACACACACACACACACACACACACACACACACACACACACACACACACACACACACCCCTTTGTGGCCAAACTCCAGGCTACAGGCTCTTGTTGGAAACCTTAACAGCAGAGGTATTCTTTGATAGAAATGTCAATAAGGAGCCTGCCATTTTATTGCTGTTGACTTGATTGGATTGCTTTAATGTAGTCTGTAACTTTGTATCTAGAATTCATGGGTTCAGCCAACCACACATGGAAAATATTTGTCAAATGTCTAAAATGAACGTGTGCAGACATTTTCTTGTTATTCCTTAGGTATTACATCAGAACACCTAGTTACATGGCATTCGCATTCTATCAAAGGAAACAGGGATATGATTTTAAGTACAGACAAGCATGTACGTAGGTTGTATACAAATGTCAAGCCACTTCCAGGGCCTTGGACATCCATGGATTTTGATATCTGCAGGATTCCTAGACCACCCAGCCTCCCACTAACAACACTTTTCTCAGGTTCTTCACATGGTGTTTCAGATCTCAGACTTGGGCGCTAGATAGCTGGATCCATTTCCTGCCTCCCTAACTTAGTGGATGATACTTAGAAGCAGATAACAGCCTCTATGAGCTTGTTTTCTTATCTTAGGGTTGAAGGCCATTCTCTGTTATATAATAAGTTTGAGGCCAGCATGGGTCACTCAAGATCCTGTTTCAAAAAAGCGGGAAAGTAATATTTGCCTCACCGGGGGTGAGGACAAATGAGGCAATGCATATAGAGTTTAGTGTTGTGCCAAGCATCCAAGGACAGTTTCAGTGAGTGGCTGCTACTATTCTTTTTAGATATACTTTTTTTTTTCAGTGATGGGGATTGAACCCAGGACTTTCCACATGCTAGTCCAACACTTCACTGCTGAGCTCAACCCCGGACTACTTACAGATGTGTTTGTTTCTTCTGCTCTTCTTCACAGCACCCAGTTTGGCCCTCTTCCCCCAAAGCACCCTGTTTGGCCTTCTCTCCAGTCAGATCCAAATAATCCGGTTGGGAAAAAAAAAAAAGTCAGCTTTGGGAATTCCTCAAAACAGCAAGCTTTCTGAGAAGAAAAGAGAGGTACTTCATCTCGGCAGCGGCAAAGACTGTGTTTTTGGTGGCCCGTGAGCCACTGTACTGGCTATTTTAGACTTCTGCTTTCTCCCTGGTCTCGACCTCCATCAGAGGCCCGAAGATGGAGGGTTTGGAGTCTGGCAGGAAGACCGAACTGCTCCCGACAAACAGGCACTGATGAGAGGAGGGAGACCATAGGCTTCTCCCAGAAGTGGTGTGCTGGCTGGTGGGGCTGGGAAGCTGGCTGGTCTACCCGTGGTCTCAAGCAGTCCCTTGGACCGGATGTTTAATGTGAACAGTGTCTTTTGTGAGTGAGCTACGAAGAGGCTCACAGAGATCCCAACCAGCAAAAACAATTCTTTTGACGAATTATCCCCAAATAAATGTGGTTTGTGGGAACCATCCTTTTTTTATGTCCTGGATGAAGGGTGAGAGTCGGAATTTGAAGTGTGGAACTCCTGAGAAATGTCCCTAGAGGAGAACCACAAGGGACTCAGCACATGGGGACTGGATTGGTTCTGGGGAAGGTTAGGAGGTGACGTGTTGGAAGGGGGGGATTTAACTCAGTGGTTTTCCTCATGCTGGGGCATTGGTGGCCGCTAGCTAGGCCTATGGAATTTGGACATGTCTTTTTCAAAAGTGTTGAACAGGCTTGCCAAAGGAACAGCGGATGACTGAACTCTTGGTCTGAAATGTGCGGTTCCTAGACTTTGGGTTGTAATCATGAGATTTAAAAGGGTTGATCTTATTTAAAATTGGTGGCGGCGGCGGCGGCGGCGGCGGCGAAATGGCTCAGCGGTTAAGAGAACTGACTGCTCTTGCAAAGAACCGGGTTTGATTCCCAGCAACCACATGACAGCTCGTAACTGTCTGTAACTCCAGACCCAGAGAACCTGATACCTTCTTCTGGCCTCTGTAGTCACTACGTGCACATGGTGCATGGTCATACAGGCAAAACACCCATACACATAAGATAAAAATAAATGTTAAAAAAACAAGAACTAGATAGAAAGGTTGATCTTTAAAATCCTTTGTTTTTCTCAAACTTGATTTATGGCTCCTTGGAGTCAGTTGGGGGCTCCAATTCTGGTTACCTTTCCTTGACTATCACAGGCCTTTCCTCATTCTTTACATCTTCCTCCTCACTCAGCCAATCAGGGGCAGGGTAAGTCTTCTCTAAGTCAGTCCTCTCCCCCCTCCCCCCTTCCTCCTTCCCTCTCTTTGAAGTACTGGGGATTGGAGTCTTGTTCATACCAGGCAAATGCTCTATTATTGAGCTACATCTGGCTTAGCCCTTGGGTCACTGATTTCTTGGCTTGTTTGAGACAGGGTGTTGCCCATAACTCAATGGTAAGACTTATGGCTGAAGACACCACACACTTGGGTAAACATGGGGAAATCAGTCTGGAATGACTGGAAATCTTCCTCCTTGTTAGCTGGCTTTCATAGTGCCAGAAAGTGCTGTGTAGACCGTGGAGGGAGGAGACACCAATGATCTTACCCGGTGCTGGACCATGCGCTGAGAACATTGAACCCACCTTTCACATACCCACATATGTGACTGTTATGGGGGAAACTAACCATTTTCTGATTGGATTGCAGGCCTGCTCCATAGGAGGGAATTCATGCCCGATACTGTAAACCTGGCCAGAAGTCTGTAGCTGGGGTTTGGGGGGCGGGGAAGATAGATTCTAGGGGGAAACCTACTACTATTGTTCTGGTAAATGTTTGTGTTGCGAAACTGCCTTCTGTGTATTTATGTTTTTACTGATAGTTGAGTACTGCTGTCGGTCAACAGTTAATGCAGAGATTCATAAATGGTCAAAGAGCTGCAAATAAGTGATTGCTGAGTGCTGAGCTCTGCATGGGACCGACCTCTGTATCAAGGCCACCAAGGCTCAGGGAACACTGCCAAAAGGAGCAGAAAGAAAGTGAGAGCTGGAGGATGGAAAAGCTGCTGTAAAATGTCTTCTGGATTTGACAACAGCTGTGGGTCCCTACAGGAGGTCTAGCCAATCAACATCCTAGCACCATTGGGAGGGAAGTTCATAATGTCCCACCCCTATCTGAGGAGCTTTTGAGAGTTGATGACTGTTGGGAGAGTCAATTTTCTTCAGAGTGTGGCCATTAATAGGTCATCCATGTCTCCACTAGATGACTGCACACTCACACATATATGAACAGCACTAGTTGTTCTGGCTGGAGAGATAGTCCAATGGTTAAGAGCATTTGCGGCTCTTCCAGAAAACCTGGGTTCAATTCCTAGCACCCACATGATGGCTCACAACCATCTGTAACTCCAGTTCTAAGGGCTCCTTTTGGCCCCCACGAGCACAGGCGTGCACATGATGCACAGATATACATGGAAACAAAGAACTCATACACATAAAATAAAAAGTTTTAAACAATAAAAAAATAAAGTTAAGAAGAGGACATGAAGGGTATTGCTCTGTGGCCCAGGGTAACCTGGAACTCATGGATAGTCCTTTTGCCTAGGCCCTTGAGTGCTGGATTAAATCCACTGTACTAGCTTGAATCTCTGATTTCGGATTCATTCTTGTAGGGCTACGTTTGTAAATGATTCCCCAAACTCTCTCAAAATGACATGCTTGCTGTAAGTTTATCCCATTTTACCATCTACTCTGGTTAACCATGGAGAAGAGTCACCATTGCCTCTCTTTGTTCTTTGGGGGCCACAGGAAGCATCTGTTAATGACACAAGGGTTATGTCAGCATATGTTGAAGGCAGCATCCTATCTGGGACATCGCAGAGTTTGGGACTTTCCATAGCTGAAGTATTCATAGAGGAAGGGGCTTCATTCATGGCCTGTTAGGTTAAATTCTCCCTTGGGCTGAGGTGTGCCTTTCTACTTCCTTAAACAGTGTGTGTATTAGAGAATGGCCTTCGGGATACAGAATCAGATGGATGGATGGTGATTTTGCATCTATTGTTCTGGGTCTGAGACTGATTGGGGAAGAAGCTTGAGAATGGGTGATATACTTAATCCTCAGAGAGCACTCTGCAGAAGCATAGAACTCGATCCATTCCATTTGGCTTCCATTCTGGGCTCAGTAGCTAGAACTGAAGAGGAAGAGCAAGCCCACATCTCTCTCCCAGCCCTAGCTCCCCACAAACCTTCCTTTATATATAGGCACAGAGTTTCAAAATTGAGGTAGATCCAGTTATCAATCCCTAATATTGTCAAAAAACGAAACAGGCCTTCAGGAGATCACAGGGGAAACATGCTTGTTTGCTATTCCATAGCCGCCATCTACAGAGGGTTGACCATTAATCCAGCAATATGCAGGTACACAGTGGAGGGAGAAGGCTTTGAAGTTAAGTGGCTGTGTTCGAGCTCTGGCCCTGCCTCTTCCCTTTTCATACCAAAAAGTTTATGTGGATGCTTTGGGACAATTTTCCCACACAAATACTCTTAGCTTAGAAAGGGTTGTAGTCATCATGAAGTAAAAATATCCAGATTTCAAAATTCATCGAACACAGCTAACCTGTACAACATTCCAACTTACCAACACCACACTATACAGGTTTGGGTGTTCCCTAGCTGAAGTGATCATGGGGCTGCCTGGGAGTGGTGACATGTCACCAGCCTGAGATGGTATCAAATTTCAGAACTCACAGTACAGCTTCTAGCGAATACATATGGCTTTCACATTAGCACCAAATAGGAAAACAAAATCATATGGCAAACCATGCTAAATTGAGGCTTTCTTATATAAAAGTGGAGATTTACGGGGTTTAATTTTTTTTTCATTTATGTTGTGTGTCTGTAGGGTCAGAGGACAATTTGTAGCTGTTGGTTTTCTACTGCTGTGCGGGTCCTCGCGTGTTCTAGTCAGCTTTCTGTTGCTGTGGTAAGCACCATGACCAAAAGCAACTTGAGGAAGGAACGGGTTTACTTGATTTACATTTCTACTTCACAGTCCGTCTTCCAGGGAAACCAGTGCAGGAACCTGGAAGCAGGAACTGAAACAGGCCACAGAGGAGTGTTGCTTACTGGCTTGCTCTGTCTGCCTTTGTGTACAACTCGGGACCACCTATCCGGGGGTAGCACTACCACAGTGGCCTGGGTCTCCCATATCAATCGTTCATCAAGAAAATGCCCCGCAGACATGCCCACAGGCCAATCTGATGGAAGCACTCCCTCAACTGAGGTTTCCTCTCCCCAGGTGATGCCAGTGGGTCCCGTTGGTAAAAATTTAACCAGGAGACTCAGGTTATCAGGCCGAGTAACAGGTGCCTTTGCCCGGTGCGTTCTCTCTCCAGCCCAGGATTTTTCACCAGTGACTAAATGAACAGCTTAGGCAATTGTGCCTGGGCTGAGGTTTCTAGCCTCGTCAACTTCGTTTGTCCAATTTAATCCTCTCTCCTCCAGCAACTGACTCTTCTGTTTTTTATGCGATGCTAGCCATCCAATCATTTTTTAAAAATAAATATCCCTTTCTTTTGAAAGATAATGTTTATTTTTATGTTTATGTGTGTAGATGTTTTGCCTATGTACCACATATGTGTAGTAACCATGGAGGCCAGAAAGAGGGCATTGGATCCTGGGGGACCTGGAGTTACAGACAGTTGTGAGCGGCCATGTGGGTGCTGGGAATTGAACCCAGGTCCTTTGGAAGAGCAGCCAGTCCTCTTATCTTTTGAACCATCTCTCCAGGCCCCTACCATTCAGTCTGAATAGAAAAATTGAGTGGTATAGATGATAGTGTCTTCTGGTCCCAATCTCTTGTTAATTTTTATTTTTGTGAGCACAAAGCCATTTAACCAGACACCTTAATTCCTCTTCCTATCCAAAGAAAGAGAATGTAAGGGCACCAAGAGCAGGCAAGGGCTTTGGGGAGCTGAGAAGAGATGATCCTGGAGGGCATGAGGCTGCTGGAGACCAAGTGAGCTGGGTCTCCTCATCCTTCAACAACCAGTTTTTCTGTTTGACTTTTCAGTAGTTTTGGCCCTTAGAACACTAGATGCTACCACGTTTGAAGGCTTCCAGAAACATCCAGGCCCTTGCTAAGAGAGAGAGAGTCCCAAGGGTTGAGCTGTTGGGGCTGCCCGTGAATAATGGAGACTATAACAAGTCTAGAAGCTACTCTTGGAATTGGAGGCAATTGCTGGACCTCCTTTAAAGGCTCCAGCCCTAGCCAGGCAGTAGTGGCATATGACTTTAATCCCAGCACTTGGGAGGCAGAGGCAGGTGGATCTCTGAATTTGAGGTCAGCCTGGTCTATAGAGTGAGTTTCAGGACAGCCAGGGCTATGCAGAGAAACTCTGTCTTGAAAAAATCACCAAAAAGAAAAAAGAAAAAAGAAAGTCTTCAACACTCCATTCTTTGTTCTTCTTTGGTTACCCTGACCTTGTGTAGGCTAGTATGATCATGCATCTATA